GTAAATTGAATATTTTTTGACGTAAAGAAACTAAGCCGGTCTCGACTCGGAATTCCTCTTTTTGTGAACTCACATAAATTTTCACTATCGATACACTAAGAATAACTCTTACAACCTTTTAGACAGCTGACAGCTGACAACTGGGCCTTATTCTCAAGAGAAACTTTCAAAGGCTTGATGGAAAACCTAACTGGAATTAGTAAAGTCACATTCAGCGCTCTTAAAATGGTATCGTCCATTGAAAATCTAATGAGGACATAGATGCCGCAACTTCAAACGTCAATGCACTTGCGGTCAGAAACACATGAATTAGAAGAAAATATGACGCCTAAATTACCACTATCCTTATTTGTAAGCGTCAAATATCTATTGTATATTTTGTCCTTATCGCTTTTATGGCTTTGAATATAAGTAAAAGAGAGATATTATTTAACTGAGGCATTTTAGTTTTGATAAGATGTAGACTGTCTTACAAGACGATTAATTTCTTTTGTTTTGGTCGATCATAAAAAGCTGTACAAAATATTCTAAGGTTATTATTGATCTTTTAGAGACGATGTTCAAAAAATGAGGCTCACATATTTCTCCGCCCGTTTCACAGATATCTTTAAAATATCAGGCTTTTGATCCATTCTAAAAGTATTGAAATTCGGTTCAAGCCAGAACATAAGAAAAATTCTTATAATCTATTGCAGTCTTATTCTAAGACACAGTGCTTTAAGAAGTACGAATATTAGCCAGCATTTGTAATGAGGCAATTCAACATCATATTGCGGTTGCATAAAAGACATTACGGTTTAATGTAAAATACAATTTTCACATAACCCAATACGTGTGACATAAAAACGATGTTGTAATACCACTGGTGTAAAGAAACGGTTACATATATTTTATTTTCTAATATGTTCATATTGTTTATCATTATCCACGCGAATTTGTATTTTTAGATTTTGATAATATATTGCAAATTAGGTATTGAAGATCTGTCCTAGATTCCATCAAACATTTTACGACAGCGAAACATAACTTCAAATAATAACAGATTTCACGCAAGCACCAGCCGGCACCAGGTACGAGTTCGCCTTGAACATGCAACCTTCGTTGGTATAAATTTAATGTTATACTGTATGTAATAGAAACTATTTAAAAACTAGTAATACAGTCGCGATTATATTATCGCAAATCGCAATAACCGACCTACTGTGAAAACCATATTCATAATATCTAATGTCTGATACGGAGAATTGGCAATACTGTTGACACTTCATTTTAACTTACAAGATAACTCCCCGATCCAATTACTGCTGCATTTCTGAACTCAAATGAACACACCAAAGATAAGTTCTGCTTAGTTTTAATAAACCTTATTATTGTGAACCTATTATATGTAAATCCTATTCGACGAATCAAGCCCCGTGGCACGATGAGGCTTTGTGCAAGCCAAATAATTAACTGCGCTGTCACTACAAATTATTTACGTAAGTCGCCTTCAAGTCCAACAACAATGAACAAATTAGCGTTTTTAAATATAGATAATATAATTTCGCGTTTTGTAGAAACGTGAGAGACTAAGATAGAATTAATACATCATAAATTATTATTATTTCGCACAAAATAAATTGTGTCAGATGCCTACTCCACATCGTATTGTTTACGTGGGATCGAGTCACTTATTGTTCATACCAGTGAATTGTTGATAAAATAGAAAATGGTGAACAATGAATGTTATTTTTTAACTTCCCGCGTTGAAACACGGAATCGATGCGGATTTCGCGCATAATTACAGATTTCAATAATATGCATGCAGCGTACAGTTACAATATGGTTGAAGGACTTTTTCATTTTATATTTGTAGTCAGTAACTACAGAGCTAAAAGATGTTCAAAAAACCTTAGCAGTAGTATTTTAAAGGGAATTATTGATAGGGTGAATTCTTATCTTCAACAGTACTGAATTACTTTTGCTATCAGGCTTAATAAAGTAATAAAAATAGCTAAAAATACTAACATAGTTCTCGAGAACAATTTCTGTTCTATGGATTTTTGTGTCCAAAAGTAACTCATTATTATTATTAAAAAGTTTCAAGCAAAATAACTTAATAAGGAATCAAACTAATAATTTTGATGTCATGTTTAAGGAAACACTTTTTGTGTGTGTACAAACGTGTTATTATCATAGATAAAAAAAATTATGGCACATATTGAAATTAGTATATTGACTGTAATGAAAACACTACCGTTTGTACCATAATGGTAGTAATGAATAAAGCTTCTTTTGTCAGTCTTCATCATACTTATTAAGTTGTCTAATATGTATTAAAAATTATAAAGGTTATTTCTTATTACTTAGAAAACATTTACACTATATATAAAATATATATTTATGTATATAATATAAAATTAATAAATAAACTTAAAAGAAGTTACAAATTTAGATGATAACTATTATATTATAAGAAATAAAAATGTATGATAAGCGACAAAAGAATACTTAGCAAGCTTATGACCTATTTTTTTAATTTTGTTTAACATGTACATGTTTCTATATTACAGACATGTATTTATTACTTACAGTTTTATTATACTTGTTAGATTCAATAGACATTTTATTCCTTGGAATGAGATATCTGATGAAATAGGTGATTTACCTTTTTTTCCAGCTTAAATCCGCTTTAATAGTAGAATAATAGATATGGAAGGCAGCTCGTTTTTATATAAGCTATAGAGACGTGATGAAAAACGTTTGTAATATTGAAGCGCCTAACTATGCAAATGATACACCCTCATTAGTTTAAAATTGGGTACTCCCAATTCAGATGGTGTAAATAACTTACCGCATTATAGTTGAAAGCCGGAGCTCCTGGAGGAAAGTATTCCCTATTGATTTTGTCACTCATTCTTACTTTTTCACTAATAAACAAAGTCACATAGTTTTATTACTTGAATACATTACAGAAATTTCACTTCGAAATATCATTGACACTTGGGAGCGTCCGGAGCAACATCTTTGTTGTTACTATGGCTAAAACTATAGATCAATGGGAAATTTGAATATGTAGAAGGTTGTTTCACTTCGAAATTGATTCTATTTTATAAATTATAAATAAAATAATAATTATAAAGCCCAAATTGAAATATCTGTTTTCTAGATACTGAAAAGAAAACGATACTCTTTAGGACCTGTCAATCTGTCATTTTACCTTTGTCTGTCATATTCGTGACAGATGTCTTCAGATATATATGATATATTCTATTAACAGATAATATAGGATAAAAACTATCAAGTATCAAGAATTCACGAACAGCATTCTTGGAATTGAATTAGTGTAGTAAACTGCATATATTGTACCAGTTTTATGTATGAAAATAAACGACACGATTGAGCTGACAGAAACTGACAAAATCGTTGTTGAGCTTGACTTGACTTGTCGAAGGCTTTTGTAAATATCGACGAAAAGCAATAATTTGATCCCCATTTGTGCCATCCGCAAAGCTCTATCTTCCTTGGACATTCATTAGTCGAGGGGGCCTCATGGCATTCGCGCAATTGTGTTGCGTACTTGTAGGTACTCCTGAGTTGGCTCCGGTAATAACGCGCCTTTTCCGGTACTTGTAGTCGGTCGGCACTGTCCCGAAAAGCTGGAAGACCACTTTAATACATCCGATCCCTAAAAAAAGGGATCGCTCTGATCCAATATAATGGAAACCTTTATTAACAGCCAGCTCCTGAGGTATCACTTTACTTTTGACCTAGTAGGCTGTGCCATAAGGTCATCCATATTTAACCCCACAGCTCCTGCTCCCTTTCGCATAAGGGCCGTTAGAATCTGTAAGCTTATACATATTTAAAAATATGTAATCAAAAACCTACCAATTGGTCTAAGATCCCGATATACAACGACCTTCACCGAGATGCTTATTTAATGAAACGTATTTTATATTTAATTTAATATGTCAATAAATATAATCCATATGGGTTGCCTAGCAAATTTCAGTCCAGAGTATTTTAATTAATATTTAAAAAAAATATTTTTTTAAACATTTCACCGGTATTATTATTAGATAAATTCTATACCAATCGAAAGTATGAAGCCCATAGAATATGCAAACGTTAGGTTGTTTTTAATCAATTAATTATTTATGTGTATATTTTTTATGTGACACTAAAGTATATATACATCTTTAGTGAAAGACATACATGACATATTAAATTAAACATAAAATACGTTTCATTAAATAAGCATCTCGGTGAAGGTCGTTGTATATCGGGATCTTATACTAAATGAATTTTCTACATAATAAGGACTTAATAGTTCCTAAGGAAATTGAATACCTATAATATAATTTTCCCTCGATAATAGGATCAATCCCTCGGGTATTTTTACGAGGCATCGTTGGAATTATCTGTTCGCAGAGATTATCAAATAAGGTTCGACTAAGTCGATAATTAAGAACAAACATCCCATCGGGAATTTACTTATTTTAAAATACTGTCGGACCCGAAGTCGTTCTCTGGCTTTTACTGATCTTCTTCGTACAACAAAGAATGAAAACGTAAACGAACTTCAACGTCAAGTGAAATTCGGAATCAGGTAAACAAAAGGTCTAATCGCAAACTTCGCATCGACCACAGGATCCGAAACACTTTCGTAATAAGAAAATATATCTTCGATCAACAGAAGCCTCGTATTTCGATTACCCTGACTACGCTGAAGGACATCACTTTAAATCGAAGATTTGTAAAAGTATAATAAAGCCATTCCAATTTCAAAAACATAAGGACACACTGCTATACATTATGATATTGAACTAAGACCATACCCGTTCCTTTATTTAAATTTAATAAGAAGATACCAACTAAATCCTGTGGACACAAAAACAATAGGAAAAATAAAAAATACCCAAAATCGTTAACAGAAATGTAATCTTAGTCATAATAAAATATAAGTTACAACTTAGTTATCATAAACAATAGAATGAAATAGTTTAACTGCAGGTAAATTAAGATTTTGAACAACAATATTTATCTAAATATGGTTGTATATCATCTACACCCATTCGCTGCTGGACCATCTTAAGGGATATGGAAATAACTTCATTTCTTATTTCTTTGTCTCGGGCCAATGTTGACTCTTCACAATAGAAACAATTATTGAAGTACAAGCCTGTTACTCCTTCCAACTCAGCAGCTGTTGCTACGTAGACAGTGGTTGCAGCTGCTTGTTGCTAAAATAAATTAACATCTCATTTATCTGATCTGTAACTTGTGGTAGTAAATCATGAAATTTCATTATGTAACTCTTGTTACATAGTTTCTTATGTATTAGCTTAACACATTTTAAATTCAATCCAAGGATCAAGTGCAGAAAACTAAATACAAATATTTATTTACATTGCAACATTGGTGCGGTGTTAAAAATTAGAAGAACCAAAGAAGAAAATAAACAAATATTATAAACTTACCAATGACTTTGTAAATGGACGAACCAAGAAGAATAATAGATCATAGAGCCACCAACTCTTGCTGAGGTTTGTCGACACCATGTTTCCAGGGTGAAGTGAATTTACCAATATTCCTTTGTCTTTCCACTCTTCACTTAAAACCTGAAAAGCAAGCCATTACATATGAACAATTAAAATATTAGAACAATTAATTAAAATATGGTTAACCAAATTATTATTAACAATATGCATTTCAATTTATAAAGAAGGTATTATATATACAATTAAAAGAAATTATAAATACATAGTAGTATTTATGATTTTAACACATTTGAATGATTTAAAAAATTCTATCAAACAATAAACTAACAAAATTATTAAGTAATTTAAGAGTGAACCAGTGAGTTTATAATATATTAGGTCCTTACATATGAAATTGGCGTTTTGTATGGGAGGAACAAAAAGTCGAATATTTTTAAATATAATATTTTTAATTAATCAAAGTATGAACCATTGTTTTCTATGCACTTTTGCCATCTATGTAGTTCATTGATCCCTTTACTAAAAAAACCAGTCGGACGGGAATCAATAAAATCTGTGAAGGCGATTTGGACTGCCCCATCAGAGTTAAATTTTTTCCCTTGCAAGAAGTTGTCCAAATTTCGAAAAAAATGGTAATTTGTTGGAGCAAGGTAGTACGGAGGATTTCAAGACATTCCAATTGAAGCTCTTCTAATTTGGTAGCCGTCTGTTGTGCAGTGTGTGATCTAGCGTTGTCGTGAAGTAGCAGTGGCGTGGAGCGATTGACCAGCCTAGGTTGTTTAGCCGCTAGCTTTTCCACCATGGTTTGCAATTGCTGACAATAGACATCAGCCGTAATAGTCTGGCCAGATTTGAGAAAACTGCAATGAACAATACCGGCACTAGTCCACCAAACGCTAACAAGTAACTTTTTTGGGGTTAATTTTCGCTTGGGGCAGGATTTGGCTGGCTGGCCAGGATCCAACCATTGCGCTGAGCGCTTTCGATTATCGTAATGAATCCATTTTTAAGCACAGGTAATGATTCGGTTTAAAATACCTTCATTATTGTGCCGGTTCAGTAATGTAACGCAGCAGTCGACGCGCGTTTGCCGGTTTGCTTCAGTCAATTCGTGAGGTACCCATTTTCAAGCTTTTTAATCTTCCCAATTTGCTTCAAGTGAATTAAAACAGTTTTATCACTAACACCGCAGCCTGCAGCTAACTCGGACGTGGTTTGCGATGGATCCGCTTCCACAATAGCCTTCAATACTTCATTATCAACTTGGGTCTCAGGCCGTCCACGGGGCTTGTTCTGCTGGTCGAAATTTCCAGAACGAAAACGTTGGAACCAAAAACGAACTGTGTTTTCTTTTGCAACATGACCGCCATACACATCATTCACCCTTCGAGTCGTTTCCGCAGCACTAGTGCCACGGCGGAACTCGTACTCGTAAATAATGCGATACTTTAAGTTTTCCATTTTGTAAAATGAGTGACGCAAACAGAAAAAAACAGAAGAAAAAACAAATGAATGACGGTCATCGAAGCACAAATACATGAGTAAATAGCTGTACAAATTTGAATTTGGAATTCCTTACCAAAGAGGAGAACATCGTGATTAAAGTGGCCAGTACGAAAAACGCCAATTTCATATGTAAGGACCTAATATTTAAAAGAATATCAATTTTAGAAATAACTTACTTTAGCTGTAATAACATTATACAATTTAGAATTATTGTATGCTATCATTGCACTGAACCATTCCTTTGGAGAAGACAGATTTTGATTAACAAATACATTTTTTAAATTTGCCATCCTGAAACAAAATTATATTATTATAGGCAGAAAGTTTGGTAATTAGCTATGAATGATTTTTCGTTTAAAACAATACCTGTGTGATTCAGAAGAGACAAACACAACTCGTGAATTCTTCTTCAATAATGGTTCCAGTAACAGAGCCAAATACATATGACTCAAATGATTAACTTGTATTGTCTTGTCAATTTTGTCTTCTGTCTCTTCATACGCATGACCAAAAATTCCAGCATTTAATATCAACATGTCCAAGTGGCTGAAAAATAATAATAAATAAAATCTCTGTACATGATCCAAATCCAGTTATAACAGTTCTTTTATTTAAAAACAGTTCTAACACACCTTTACTTAGGTGAGTGTATGAATCATATTAATGTTATTGATATTTTTTTATTTCTAAGTACAAACAAAAGAAAGTTGCAGAGAATAATCGCCATTATAGTCGCGTCGGGCGGAAGTACCGCGGTTTCGTATGACGCAGTGTATATCCTAGCCGACACCACACCCTGGCATCTCGAAGCGGACACTTAAGCTTAGGTTTCCTAGAAAAGCGGTGACGTTATCTAACGGCCGTAATGTAGCGTTGGGTGACGCATACGTTGTCTATAAATAACATCGGAGTAGGTTTCCTAGAGAACATTGAGTGTCACCGTAACGTCAAATAGCGGTGCTGTCATTTGTTTGATGGCCGTCATAGCGGTAATAAACATTAGTTCAACGTTTTTCGCGTGTAGCGGTGCTCATATTTAATTAATACAATGAGTGGAAACGTGACTTGGACGAGCGAAAATGATTGTTTTTTTGCATTATGTTAAAAAGTAAAGACGGCCGTTATAACCAACCGTAAAATGACGAAACCTATGCTCTAAGGACCGAAGCCAGGCACAATGGTAATGACCCTAAGCTTGTAGCAATTAAGGAGGGGAAAATAACTGAGTGTAAATAACTAACTACCAGTGTGGAGCTGGTGGGGCCGCCTCAGCTACCAACTCGTACAGATACTGTCCAGACAAGACTGTTTAGGCAGGCACTAGGCACAAGTGGAGCGTGAGGAGGCACCAACCTGCTACCATTGTGCCTTTTCTATGACGCGCTCGACACTCTAAAGGATTGCCCAGCATGGGAGGTGGAAAGGTCGTGCTGTGAGAGGGTATGCGTAATGCATTTCCCTATGTGAAAAAAAGACATGTTCCTCGATACAATTATAGAACAGTACCATTCTTCTAATTCATTCAATGTGTGAGTAACTACATTAAATAAATACTAACTTACTCAGAAAACACCGCCTTTACAGCCAAGGCACATTTCTTTACACTGTTTAAGGACATCAAATCTAAATGAATTGCTTTCAAATTATCCTCTGACACATTTGTTTCCTTTACAATTTGTTCTATTGCTTTCTTTGTTGCTTCCATATTTCTATTAGCAAGTAAGACATTACACCCATGCCTTGCCAGTGACTTGGCAGTTTCATACCCAATACCAGCATTACAGCCTGTTATAAGGGCATATTTTCCAGATAAATCTACTCCATGTAGTATCTGAAAGGATTAATAACAGGCTTTGTTATAAAGATTATTGCAGTCTTTTATCTTATCAACTTTTTAAGAATGAAACTTGTTACAAACAGCATTTATTAAATTAAATAGAGATTATTATAAGACCAGCAACAAAAGTTTTCTTTAGCAAAAACTGCTAGTTTATATTAAAAGCTTAGTTAGTTTATTAGTGACTGATCTAATAATGTTAATGACAACTAAGCATATTTGAATACTTGAGACTGACAATTAAAAGCTGCATTAATTCTCATCCTTCAAAAAGTGTAAATTGGTAAGGTTACCCGTTTTGTTACAGACAACTGAAAATACTAAATAAACAATTATTTACATAAATGGACTATTTTTATGGTTAAATGAAAGAACCAAATAATCCAAAATTCTATCAAGAATACATATTAATATTCAGTTCTGTACTTACATACCTGATAAGCTGTTGAAGAACTATCAAATCTTTGACGGAAGTCATTAATATGCTTCTTTTCCTCTTGAGCAAAAGCTAATCTTGGATCAACTAAAGTTGTGTTTCCTGTTTCTTTATGTTCATACACAGCTTTACCATCCTCATCTGTCATTTTCGTCCATCCGAAAGGCAAATCTTTAGGTATAACCTTTTTTCTGCCAGTTCGAGGATGAGTCCACTGAATTTTTTTATTGCAAGAACTGAAAATATACATCATATCACTTATAATTCATCCCTGTATATTTAATTAGGCCTGTAATACTAAAACATATTAATAATAGTATAAACGATTGGGAAAAAAATTACTTCATTAAGGACTTACTTAACATAATAAACATTTCCGTCTTCGGTAGATTTTTCTTCCCAACCAGAGGGCAGTTCGTCTTCACTGTCGGAATCTATTACGTGATGCATTAATAATATCTTATAAAAAAAATTAATTGTTTTATAAAATAATCTTATTACTTTATCAATATTTATCACCGACATAGACCAAATTTCACAATACGATTAGGTAGGTACTAGTTAAATTCTGATAACTTCAATACTTCTTAAAACTAATAAAACAGTTTATTCAACCAAATAGCGATGTTATCATGTTACCATGGACCACAGATAAGTAATTAGGTTACAAGTTACAACTTACATGGGTGATGCGGGTGTTACCAACTCCAATTTTATCGAGTAGGTAGATACAATTTCAAAAGTTGGTAGTTTCCAACCATCTTCAATTCGAAAAGTAGGTAGATCTACCAACTATAATTTCGACTTTCGAGTTTTATATAAAATCTTACCCTAAGATGTGATACCTTTAATTCATTTGTTTTTCGTAAAAAGTAATAAATCACATCACAATAGTAAAAAAATTAAAATTAACTAAAAAATGGACAATATTCATTAAAAAATCAAAGCATGTTATGGATTGAAGAGATCAATCTAACATAATTTACTTGACAGTGGGGGCCGGAAACTGAAATGCTTAATCCAACCTGCATATTCTGGTTCTCTTTCCCAGAATTTTGAATATTTTTGATCATAATTAAATTTCCTCAATTTTCGTGGAGGAGAATTTTCTTCATTTTCACTTTCATGACTAATCATTTTTTTTAAATGTTTAGATAGACCAATAGTACTAAAATACTTTATTTAGTAACATTCAACGCTGCTCTTTACATACTCGTATCAAAATACATAGTAAGATCATGAGAGTCTTGAAGTTAGTCATTAGTCGAACTCGCAATAAATAAGCCGAGGTTTCTTATTGGCTGATGTATATCGATATATTTAAACTGACAAGAACGCAAAAGCGCGCTGTTTTTAACTTATTGTGTGCATAAAAGAAAATTAAACAACATAAAAATTTTAAAATTAAATTTTAAAATTTTATAAACAAAAAGTTGGTGGAGTTGGCAACGCTGGATGGGTTAGCTTTAATATGTATAAATAAAACAATACCAATTATCATGAATTTAAATATAAACATGATTTTAAAAAGTTCAAATTAAGCACAAATCTTCCATAGCTGCATATTTTTCAAGGATATATTTATAGCATTCAATGTTTTTTTTTACAGAAAACATATTCTTACCGACGATTACAGACCATTCTTACAGATAAAAATAAATCCTATATTTATACTATATCTGCGACTGCACACGTTTAGGCAAAGCAGGCTAACAATTTTTTTTGAAGTAAGTAAATTTTTATACATAATAATATTATATATAGTCTGGGGCCTCATATCCTAGCGGTCTTATTAAGTGGCAGCTAGGTAAGGGGTACCGGGTTCGATTCCCGGTTCGAGGGCAAGTTTTAATTTAATTTAAATTTGTTCTCGGCCTTTGGGAGGGTTGTGCGGTACCGGGCGAGTACCTAAACCGTACATGGAGGACACGGTCGAATTTCTAAAGACAAGCACGAATTATAAAAAAAATCCTATACTTGACGCTGGCTAATGCACAAATCGTGCCAGAGCCATACAAAAAAAATAAATAAAATATATATAGTCTGACAAGCGAGTCGTGGCCTCAACAACAAGCCTCTGGCGGCAAATACAAAATTCCTTCAGCTGTTAACTCTGCATATAGTCTAAAAAAAACAATCTTGATACTTCTGCTAAATTTAATTATTTCTTTAATAAGTTGGGAGACTCCAAATAATTTAGTCTGAAAATAAATAGAAGCAAAACGAACACATTAACTACATCAAAATAAACACCAACATTTCCACTCCACCGAAAACAGGAAGGGTTGGACTTAGAATAACGTCTCACGAATTTGTTGATGTTCATTGAAGGAACAATGAAATAAAACATTATATTTCACATTTATTTGTACATAATCAACAGTGTTTAACAAAACACGACGTATGGTAGAAACTGAAGACATCTAATACACTAAATCTACTTTGTACAATGAGGATTGTTTTACCTTATAATTACTTGATTAACATTTTTAGTGCCCACAAAAAGTAAGACGTAGTAGTGAGTAGGTATGTAGTAGGTAATCACAGTATTATTAAAATATAATACAAGAGACATATTGGTTGACGTACCAATATAATTTAACATTTAATATAAATTTAAATATTGTTTCACTAAATAGGGGCATAAAAAATCAACTAACGTCCACAAATCACATTAAAGCTTTATACAACCATCAATCAGCTGTCAAAGGTGCTCGCTTATTACATCCCGCTAGATGTCTGAGCGTCTAAATGTGTCAACTGTTAAAGTGTCTTCTAACATTCCAAGCCTGTTGATTCTCCCTACAACTTTGTTGACATAGTTTTTATATCATGCCTCGGCTGCGCCGTTGGTCTTGGAAGTAAAATGCTCAGCAACCCACATACTGAAAAAAATTAAGGCTCTTTCAATCTAATTCATATAAGTCAGGGCTTAGTACTTAACATAGGAACATGTCATGTATCAAGTCCAAATAAACAAAACTTGTTTACATCCATTGTTGACAATGAGATTCTTTACTTTATGACCCCAAATCCAGGCTGGAAATTATGTAGAAAACTATGTAGTAAAAAGTATAACTTACAGAACAATAATCCTCCATATCCATAAAACGTGATTTCACAGGCAGTACTGAGCAATGTTCCAGCAATATTCATACCGACGACCGACCCAAAACGACCAACCATCATGGACAAACTGACGGCCATACCTCTGCAAAATATTTATTATGGATCAGTACTACTGTATATTTATTATGTACGTGTAATATTATAGTATAAAGCAAACAATAAATCATAATTTCGGTTGTATATTTACACATTAAAAGGAACATAAAAAAACATGTGTGTACTTATGTACACGCGTTAGAAGTTATACTTCTTAAAAAAAATATTCTACGTTTGCAGAAAAAACGACACTATCAATAGAAAACCCTAAAATGTTGACACTTCAAGGTGTCGGTTTTTTGTGAAGGTGTGCGCGCGCAATAGCGCATCGTAAAAATTATCTCATCATTTTTCCCTAATGCGCCAAAAGAAGTATAACTTCAAAAATTAGCTTACACATTTTCACTTTTAATCCATCAACCATCACTTTTAATATCCTACCTATATTATTATAGATAATCACATATAACTTGGCCGGATTTTGCGTGTTAGACGAACATAAACATGCATTTTTTAAACTTACCTCAATTTGGTCGGGAAAATATCCACAGCGAAAGCGTTAGCTGGTCCAATACACAGACCCAAGATAGGAAACGAAGACACCAGAATTGCAAACAGAATTTGGTTCGTCGCAAAATTAATACCAACACACACGCATCCCATGAGTGTGTAAAAAGCTATTAAGAGATTTTTCTTCCCAATAACCTTTACTACACTGCTGACTCCTATTGCAATAACGGCACACACAAGACTGGAGAGGGCGTTAATGATGAACGTCATTGAATCAATTGTTTCGATGCATTCCACACCAACGTCTGTCTAAAATGAAAGATATTTTATCGTTTGAGCACTAATTTTTGAAGTGAAACTTCTTTATCGACGTTGGAAAAAAAGTAAAGTTTGCCTACCTCTGAAAACTAACTTCAGGCTTACCGCAACGTACTGTTATTTATATTGGATAATTTTTTCAGGTTATATTTAATAAATATTGCAGTATTTAATTTAGTTATAAATAGAAATTATGCTTTTAAATCATTATTATTTATGTCAAAAACCGTGTAGTGTGTCCATAAAATGTATACAATTTATATTAATAACAAAAATAAATAATAACAATAAAAATTATAGTAATAATTCTATGACAATTAATGAAATTCTGTAATAATCTTAGTAGTAATAAGGTAAAATTAAATAATTGTATTATTTTTTTCATGACTATAATAATAAAAGCCTTTTGTTAAACTTTATCTAATTTAACTTTATTTAACCAATTTCTGTAAAGTTGCATATAGTAGATCATTTTTCGAAGAATAAGGTCATAAAGAGGTTTCACTTCTTACGTGTGTACACTAGTACACGCACACATTTTTATTTTTATAGGACATCGCATTGCAGCCCATGGACACCCAAACTAAATGTGATAACTTAAAATTTAAGGTGAAGGCATTCCGATTTTCTCACGATGTTTTCTTTTATCGTACAATGATTGTTAGATTTGCACTTAGGAAGAAAAGTCCATTAATGCACTTGCGGGATTAAATAAACTAAACTATCTACTTTCTGCCGTCATTTAGTTAATGGGGTATATCATGTGGGTATATCAGATGTATGGAATTAATTCTTACCTGATTTCGTTTTGCAGCAAGTACTTGACATGCTGTTTGGCCTTCTCCTCCGCCAGTTAATACGGTATTCAAAACAGCAGGTAACCATACGTATAAACCATTTATGCTAAAAAAATATATAACATTTATTTGATATATGTTCTATTATATGTAATCTAGTGTGTATATTAAGAGTGTACTAAAAGTTATTATTGATACAGTCGTCTGATTAAAAAATCGAATATTAAACTATATATTATTAATCTTTATATAAAAATGAATTGCTGTTCGTTTGTCTCGCTAAAACTCGAGAATGGCTGGACAGAATTGGCTAAATATGATCTTGAAATGTTTGTGGAAGTTCGGAGAGGGTTTAAACGCTGGGAAACATAAATAATAACTAAAGGAAAATACTGAAAACGACAATTGATTGAGTTTTTCAATCAAAACTGCTCCTGGGAAATATTTGATGTCTTTTTAGAAATAAATAATTGTCACTTGGCTGTCTTATAGGGCTTCAAAAATTGTGTTTAATAGCTGTAGATGTCGAGGTCCGATCTTTGGCCTGTTTTAAAAAATTGTTTTAAGTTTTGACACAAATATGTATATTGTATAATATGTAGCTGATACGAAGTTCACCGGGTCATCCAGTCTACAATAAAATTATAATAATGTAACGTCTCGTACTTTATTGTGTGAGTAATTTAATAGCCGAAACCATACTAAACGTACGTATTTAAGTATCGAATATTCAATTCTATCACGAGTATATAACTTTTATTCTGAGTCACTGAAGAGTTATTAAAAACTTACTTTGCGAAAATTCCTAGTAGCAGAAATCCTATTAAGGCCATCCATTTTATATATGGTGGCTTTAACAATGGCGCCGATTGTATGGCTAAAGATTTGAAGAACGGTGGTTTTTCCTCCTTTAGATCTTCGTTCATCCGTAGATATTTTATCTGTAAATATTTACCTATTAATTAAGTAGGCCCGACTATAGTCGGGTAGCCACAAGTCTCATTTGGAAATCATTTTGTAATAACAAGTCGCTGATTAAATGCTGGTTTTATTATGGGCTCGTCTAATGTAAATTGCATACATACCTAACTCTTACAAGTTAATTACTAAGATTAATGAAAATATTGATATAATTTACAACAATCATTCTACTTACTTAGTTTGTATTTAGTTTTAGTTTTATTTAGATGTTTGCTTGTGTTTAAAATTTGTGATGTCATATTTTCTTGTATATTTCAAGCATATATGTTGTTTTAGGACTTATAAATAAATTAATAACATTTAATTTCTAATGTAAATTGCGTATTTAGCAAGAAAATTGAAAATTCATTGATGCACTGTTATTAATTATGATAGGTGATAAGAAATCTTACTGGAAAGTCGTCTGGTGATTTCTTTTTATTCACCGCATACATTGTCCTCAATACTTCTAAAGATTCATCATGCCGGCCTTGGGACATGAGATATTTCGGACTTTCCGGGCCAAAATACATCAATAAGGCACCCAATAGAAACGGAAGTGCGTAAATAACAGTTAAAAGTCGCCATGGCTTGAACTCGTAGAGGCCAAAATCAACTCTAAACGTGAGAGGTAGGATTGCCCATCCCAATACTGAAAATAAATTGTTAATCTTAAAGATATATATCATGAAATATTGGTAAACATACATACTTTCTTCTACGAGTATATCCTTTACACGAAAGTCGAAAAATTAGTTAAATTAGCTTTCTACAATAAATCTTTCTGTCAAGATTTTTGCATGGTGGTGCATTGATGGTTTGTACTCATTGTGACAAGAAAGGTGCGCATAGGCAACTAACCTCTGTTACCAACTTACGAGCCAGGAACAAAGGAAACGGGGCCAGTAGAGAAGTAGCTACAGAGGATGGAAAAAGTTGTATAAAGCAAGTGAAAACTTTGCCCCATAAATGGGAAATAGGAAAGCCTTTGCAAATCGTATTGCAAAGACAGTCTCTCTCTTAACAGACTTTTGGTAGAGATCGAAGTATTCTCGTTGCGCTCAACAACTCCTTTCATATTAAACGTTTCTCTTATCCCATATCTTAGATCTCTGTGAATGAATCTGATAGTATTTGCTACTTACAAGGAACAAAAACTGATCCAAATATTTGCATTGCGTTGGTTACTGATAGAGTAACATCTCTGTACTTGCTGGGCAGGATCTCACCAATAAACGAATATGGCACTGCGGCGGGACAAGCCAGGCTGAAATTATATATTTTTATAGAACTACTAGCTGACCCGGCAAACGTTGTTATGCCGTGTATATTATTTCTAGGAAAAAAATTTTTAGTTCAATAAAAATAACTATCTACTATAATAAAAATAGGGGTTGATCGTGAAGGGGTGAAAATTAAGGGTTGTATGTATTTTTGTATGCTATATCATATATAAATAAAAACAAAAAAAAATTGTCTAAAAAAATTAAATTTAGGGATGGACCACCATTTAAGGGGATGAAAAACAGATGTTGTCCGATTCGCAGACCTAACCGATATGCACACAAAATTTCACGAAAATCGGTCGAGCCATTTCGGAGGAGTTTAATTACAAACACCGTGACAAGAGAATTTTATATATTAGATTTTACTTAGTGGTAAAACCATAATATGGCGTACAACAAAGATCCTAAGTGCTATTCCGGGCGAATAAACCGGGACACAGACCCATGCCTAGGCCAATTATACAAAGCTGAAGTTTCATCCGTAGCTTAGCTCAAGCACTTGAATTGAGAAAGTTTAACTTTTATGTATTCTAACTTTACATACATTGAAACGTTTAAATACAAAATAAATGTATATTGTTGCAATCTACTCGTTAATAACTATAAAAATCAATTATTGAAAATTAGAATCTATAGAAAATTTAAAATTTGCATATTACTAAGATTTTTTATTCTACTTGAAATTTATTGCTTAATACTTTGCCGATTTCACAATTGTAACGTATGCCTTGGAGTAAATTTTTGAAGTTATACTTCTTTAGGCGCGTTATGAAAAATTGATGAGAGTGAAATTTTACGATGCGCGCGCACCGTGACTCAAAATTAACAGAATGAAGTTGCCTACGGAAGATGCTACGGCATTGGACATAATTTAAAAACAACATTCGAATAATAATAGAATTTATGTTACACTTAATGCAAGAGAATAATAATAAATATTTATTTATTTAATTGTTCAAATGTAAACTGAACTTTATTGACTATAATGACTTCCTTTTCCAGTCTTTGATTATTTAATTGTAATTAATTATTTGCATGCAAACAAAAACTATTTTTGAAAATGCCAAAGCATAACTTCTTACACGCACCATTTTTTTCTTTAACTTACCAAAGAGACATGAGGAACTTAATAGCAGTAAATGATATTAAATCTGGCATAAAAGCCGATAGGATACCCAACAAGCCTGCTGCTGCTGAACTGAGCACTATCATTTTTTTCCTGCCCCGCGTGTCCACCGCGTAGCCCCATGGAAACGACGTGAGTGCTATGCCTAAAAAAGTTCATGTATTTGCATTTAATTTAGTCTAAAATAACGTCTTAATTAATATAGCAATACATTGATCTTTTAGGGTCTGTTTCACAATGTACGGATAAGTTCTACATAAGTTCCAAATTAGCTATTTATTACTTATTGGTAGGATAAACACTATTGTTGCGTTTCACGACTGTCAGATACCGCTATTCGTCACATAAAGTCCATCATAAGTTATGAGTCAGATGAAGTGTCAAATAGCACAATTTATCTTCCAAATAATTTATGAGTTGCATAGCTATTTGGTGCTTTATCCATACATTGTGAAACATACCCTTAATCTATCAGAAATAAAGAGTAATAAATATAGTTTAAAAAAACTAAAAAACACGCTTTTAAAGCACATCAAACTAAAAAGTGAAAAATAATTCCTAATTTAGGCTGAGAATGGTACCTAATGAACAAAAAATACTGGTATTATTGCGAAAAAGCGTGGGTTGCTCGATAGACGAAAAATATTCTTTATTTAAAAGCGTGTTTTTTAGTTTTTTTAAACTATATTTATTTTCCACTTTTTAGTCCTAGCAGCAATATGTGTTGTCTCAATTTAATCGTATTGCTTTGTGGACTTAAAAAAAATTTCATTGTTTTTTCGAGATAAACCTATGAAATTATTATATTGTCGCTGATTCTTTATAAGTGTACAAAGTTTGAATTAAATCTGTTCGTTCAATGTGGGTCAAAACCGAAGGAGTCGGTTACATACATACATACATACATACATACATACATACATACAGGTGAAGCTAATATAAAGCGTGTAAAAATATCTATGGCAAAATATGGTTGCGTGTGTATTAAAATTGTGCGTATGTAGAGATGAAGAATATTTTTTTCTTCGGTCATGTTATATTTACATTGTGAATGCTATAAAGATCTTACCAATGTACGGTATGGATCCTATGAACCCACGTTGAGTCTCCGTCATCTGTAGATCGCATCTGGCAACCGGGAGAATGTATGCGTAACCTATAGGCTCTATGATAACGGCGATGAGAAAGAGAGCCAGGCAGAGACTGTAGCGAATGTTATACCAGCCAAGACCTACAAATTATGTTAAAAAAAACCTTAATAAAACATCAATAGCAAACAAAACCTATATGAGAATAATACAAACAAATGAACCCTACATTTAGTTTTTTAACGTATCCTACAATCCTCATATATAGTGTCAACGTTGTATATAGATATGCAATATGATGGATTTTCGTAGATACACAATTGCAAAATATGTAAGGTAAAGTTAAATAAACAAGTTGGAAGTTTACTACTAGACGTAAATACGAAAACTTTTCCCCACCAAGAAAATTGTTGCCTAACTGTTTTCCTAATACTGCTATTGAATGTATTTCGATGGACCTACATTTTAGATGTCTTCATATCTAAAATCATAGCATCATCATCTTCATAGGAAGCCCGACATTGAAACATGTATTATTTTTTTTAGGCCCGACTATAGCGGTATAGCCACCAGTCTCATTTGGAAATCCTTTTGTACTAACAAGTCGCTGATTTAAAGCTGGTTTTATTATGGGCTCATCTAATGTAAATTGCATACATAACTCTTACAAGTTAATTACTAAGATCATCATCTTCACAGTAAGCCCAACATTGAAACATGTATTATTTTTTTTAGGCCCGACTATAGTCGGATAGCCACCAGTCTCATTTGGAAATCCTTTTGTACTAACAAGTCGCTGATTTAAAGCTGGTTTTATTATGGGCTCATCTAATGTAAATTGCATACATAACTCTTACAAGTTAATTACTAAGATCATCATCTTCACAGTAAGCCCGACATTGAAACATGTATTATTTTTTTTTAGGCCCGACTATAGTCGGATAGCCACCAGTCTCATTTGGAAATCCTTTTGTACTAACAAGTCGCTGATTTAAAGCTGGTTTTATTATGGGCTCGTCTAATGTAAATTGCATACATAACTCTTACAAGTTAATTACTAAGATCATCATCTTCATATTAAGCCCGACATTGAAACATGTATTATTTTTTTTAGGCCCGACTATAGTCGGATAGCCACCAGTCTCATTTGGAAATCCTTTTGTACTAACAAGTCGCTGATTTAAAGCTGGTTTTATTATGGGCTCATCTAATGTAAATTGCATACATAACTCTTACAAGTTAATTACTAAGATCATCATCTTCATATTAAGCCCGACATTGAAACATGTATTATTTTTTTTAGGCCCGACTATAGTCGGATAGCCACCAGTCTCATTTGGAAATCCTTTTGTACTAACAAGTCGCTGATTTAAAGCTGGTTTTATTATGGGCTCATCTAATGTAAATTGCATAGATAACTCTTACAAGTTAACTACTAAGATCATCATCTTCACAGTAAGCCCGACATTGAAACGTGTATTATTTTTTTAGGCCCGACTATAGTCGGATAGCCACCAGTCTCATTTGGAAATCCTTTTGTACTAACAAGTCGCTGATTTAAAGCTGGTTTTATTATGGGCTCATCTAATGTAAATTGCATAGATAACTCTTACAAGTTAACTACTAAGATCATCATCTTCACAGTAAGCCCGACATTGAAACATGCATTATTTTTTTTAAGGCCCGACTATAGTCGGATAGCCACCAGTCTCATTTGGAAATCCTTTTGTACTAACAAGTCGCTGATTTAAAGCTGGTTTTATTATGGGTTCATCTAATGTAAATTGCATAGATAACTCTTACAAGTTAACTACTAAGATCATCATCTTCACAGTAAGCCCGACATTGAAACATGCATTATTTTTTTTAAGGCCCGACTATAGTCGGATAGCCACCAGTCTCATTTGGAAATCCTTTTGTACTAACAAGTCGCTGATTTAAAGCTGGTTTTATTATGGGCTCATCTAATGTAAATTGCATACATAACTCTTACAAGTTAATTACTAAGATCATCATCTTCACAGTAAGCCCAACATTGAAACATGTATTATTTTTTTTAGGCCCGACTATAGTCGGATAGCCACCAGTCTCATTTGGAAATCCTTTTGTACTAACAAGTCGCTGATTTAAAGCTGGTTTTATTATGGGCTCATCTAATGTAAATTGCATACATAACTCTTACAAGTTAATTACTAAGATCATCATCTTCACAGTAAGCCCGACATTGAAACATGTATTATTTTTTTTAGGCCCGACTATAGTCGGATAGCCACCAGTCTCATTTGGAAATCCTTTTGTACTAACAAGTCGCTGATTTAAAGCTGGTTTTATTATGGGCTCATCTAATGTAAATTGCATAGATAACTCTTACAAGTTAACTACTAAGATCATCATCTTCACAGTAAGCCCGACATTGAAACATGCATTATTTTTTTTAAGGCCCGACTATAGTCGGATAGCCACCAGTCTCATTTGGAAATCCTTTTGTACTAACAAGTCGCTGATTTAAAGCTGGTTTTATTATGGGCTCATCTAATGTAAATTGCATACATAACTCTTACAAGTTAATTACTAAGATCATCATCTTCACAGTAAGCCCGACATTGAAACATGTATTATTTTTTTAGGCCCGACTATAGTCGGATAGCCACCAGTCTCATTTGGAAATCCTTTTGTACTAACAAGTCGCTGATTTATAGCTGGTTTTATTATGGGCTCATCTAATGTAAATTGCATACATAACTCTTACAAGTTAATTACTAAGATCATCATCTTCACAGTAAGCCCGACATTGAAACATGTATTATTTTTTTTAGGCCCGACTATAGTCGGATAGCCACCAGTCTCATTTGGAAATCCTTTTGTACTAACAAGTCGCTGATTTAAAGCTGGTTTTATTATGGGCTCATCTAATGTAAATTGCATAGATAACTCTTACAAGTTAACTACTAAGATCATCATCTTCACAGTAAGCCCGACATTGAAACGTGTATTATTTTTTTTAGGCCCGACTATAGTCGGATAGCCACCAGTCTCATTTGGAAATCCTTTTGTACTAACAAGTCGCTGATTTAAAGCTGGTTTTATTATGGGCTCATCTAATGTAAATTGCATAGATAACTCTTACAAGTTAACTACTAAGATCATCATCTTCACAGTAAGCCCGACATTGAAACATGCATTATTTTTTTTAAGGCCCGACTATAGTCGGATAGCCACCAGTCTCATTTGGAAATCCTTTTGTACTAACAAGTCGCTGATTTAAAGCTGGTTTTATTATGGGCTCATCTAATGTAAATTGCATACATAACTCTTACAAGTTAATTACTAAGATCATCATCTTCACAGTAAGCCCGACATTGAAACATGTATTATTTTTTTTAGGCCCGACTATAGTCGGATAGCCACCAGTCTCATTTGGAAATCCTTTTGTACTAACAAGTCGCTGATTTAAAGCTGGTTTTATTATGGGCTCATCTAATGTAAATTGCATACATAACTCTTACAAGTTAATTACTAAGATCATCATCTTCATAGTAAGCCCGATAAGATAATGGTTTATACGTAATGTGATTGATTATATTTGAAATGACGAGTAATCTAAACGTTTGTTAATTTGATAAAGCTGTAAGATTTATACTACAGTTATTATAGCGTTATGAGATTTTCCTTTAGAATAAAATTAGCATTAAAATGTGCTGCTATGCAATTATTATGAGATTTATAATTTTTCCTATCGGAAATAGTGACATTATAATTATTGTAGATTATTAACCTGTTTTTTTTTTGTTTTTTAGCAATCATTGCAGCCCATGGACATCTCCTATTTAGTTGGTGAGTTGTCTCTTTCATTAAACAATTGCAGGTCGTATCTCCCAGGGAAGAAATTCACCGGGAGTCGATCCCATAGTTCGTAAAAGAAAATGTCTTGTGAAGCGGACCGTGAAAGACTGCCAAACCATCAAGGTGATGCGGATGATATTTTGAGTTGTGTGAGGCAGGAGGGATCAACCCATACAACTCTACAGAACAGTAATTGTAGTAAATTAAATATTATATATATATATATTAAACTGATATTTAAAAAAAAATACAAATAAAAACTGACTAATGCACTCTCATTATTTCCAAGATGTCTACTACCTACATGAACACCAGTTATTAAACGAAGACAGTGACAGGTTTCTTATTTAGTTAAAGGTACAAAGGTTATTCAAATGCCAAACAGGTCATAATACTTTAGAAATAAAATAAGAAAGTACCGTTTAAGCTTAAGATCACTCTACGTATTCACTTTTCAGAGGAGATAAATGTTTATAATGTTTTCGACAAATTATGTAAAACTGTCGTCAGATATACGTTTGAGTAAATATTACATTACACAGAGATGTATAATCACTGTATCACAAATATTATAAAACAAATTCCTTTTCTTTAATTAAAGCTAACATCGCATCTTTTTTTCTTCTATGGCGTTGTGGTCTGGTTAGTTAATCTATTTTAAATATTTCTATAGAAAATATCACGTGAAGAGCAAAAGTATAGTAGAAGTAGTTGTGATTAGTAATGAGTCGTAAGCGTAATTAATAAGATTATGTCCAATCAATATGAAGCAAGAAATTGTGTCAGCAAATTTTAAAAACTGATATTTATATATTTAGGACAATACTGTAACATAAGCTTGTGATTGTCTTATCAATTAAATAAATTATTATTAGCAACGAAATTATCGAGGTGCCAGTGGAGGCGATGTAGGTTCCATTTTCATGTTTGACCGCAAAATCATAATTGTCTTTTTTCTGTACAAGTCAAATAAAATAAAGCACAGAAAAACATACATGTTTTTATTTTGTAGAATATTTAAAATATGTCAAAAAACAATTAACAGTTTTTGCATATTTGTCTTTGTTGGTGACTTTTCGAATTACTTTTATCGTTCTTTTGTTTAGTTTAACATTGATATTATTTTAAATGATCAAATAATCTAATATGAGGGTTAAATTGTTATAAACGATATTTATCAAATTAATTATGATTTATGTAACTATCTTATATATATTCTTATATTATATTCGGTACTTAGCTAAAACTAGACCTATCTTATGACAAAAGTGTATTTATATATACTTGATTTAAAAAATATTTAAAACAATAATATTTTTAACTTACCCGCTACATCTAGAGCATAATCAATATCGACTGCATTTTTTTCTTTATTCGCAACATCACCGGAAACTGTTTTTAATTCATTAACCATCTTTAAGTCCAAATGTATTCCACATTCACACTAATTAATACACTTAAAATAATATTTTCTGCACAAAATATAACTATACATTTTCAATATTATATCGTATAGTTATATTAGCAGAGAGCGTAAAGCGACCGATCCACTTAAGCACTGTATAATAAATCGCGTTGTTAAACTAATCTGTTAATAATATAATAATTATGTTTTTTCCGCAGTACAGTATACCTACTTATCAGTGATGTTTTTATATTACCGATATCAACATGTTTTAATGAAGATAATAAAAGACTAAAAGATATCGTAAGGAAATACTCAAACAAACAAATACTCCCTGTATTATGTTTTGTCACATACTATATTTCCATGCTTGTGATGTATCTATAACAACAAGGAATATTGATCAAATAATTATAAAAAGCTTAAAACATTTTGTGATATTTACAATTAAGTTGTCATCTTCACTTGCGATAACATGAACATCTTCTATTGACGTTTATAAGCCTTGTCGGTTTCGATTTATTTCTCAACATTTCTCGGATTACAATCTGGTTACGAGCTAAAATGTCAACTTCTTCTTTCAAAGTTTTTAACATGTTTTGTACGGGAATCAAAGTCTGTTCGTACACCTTCGACATAGTTTCTTGAAACTCGTTAAAAACGCGCGCATAATGTTTTTCCTTTTTAAAGTGAAGTGCCTCTGAAAATTTGTAAAGTTAAAATAAATATATTCAGTTAGTTCTTAATTAAGAATGTTGTATATGTATACCCCGAGAAAGTATTTTTTTTGCGTCCTCTGTTTTTATAAGGTTATTCCTCTTTAATAAAACTATAAAATCCGTGTACGGATCTATTGGTAGTTTCATTTCGTCTTCGTTAACTCGTAATTTTGACTTAAATAATAATATAGGCTCTTGTTTATCGTTGTCAGTTGCAGTAGCCGAGTCTATTGTTTTGAAAGCTCTTTCTTTGTCATTGATAACATAAGATTGCAATGCAAAATCAAGTTGAAATACATCGCTATTGTTAAATTCGTCATTAGGATTGTTATAAAGTAATTTTAAACGATCTTTTGAACTATTGGTATTTGTCGTCGGTTTCAATTCCAAGTGCTTCGATTCATTTTTTATAGAAAAAGACTTGATTTCATCATTTTTAGTGTCTTCATTTGTTTTATTGTTGTTCGCGCTAGGTAACGGTGCATGAATATTTTCATTAGAAATTATATTAAGTTTACTCGTTTTTTGGAAACCGTTTTCCATACTGGCGTAATTTTTAAGTATTAACTGAGGTTTTATGAATGCTTCAGCATTATTTTCTTTCATGTCATTTAGTGTTTCATAATGTTGACTTAATTTAGTTGTAACTACTTCACCCAATTCTGTCTTAAACGTATTTGGTTTTTCCATATTTTCCTGGGATTTTTTTTCCGATAGTTTATCTTTTTTGGTTCCATCATGATTTAATTTCTCAATAGAATCTGTAATTACAGGAATCGAGAAAATTTCAATAATTTGAGAATTATTGTGTTGTGTTATATTAGTGTCTCTAAAAGAATCATTAATCATATCAATTTCTTTTTTATAATGTTCTATGTTTGATTCATGTTTGTCATTAATGATTTCACTCAAAGACTTTTCAGAAAATTTAATTAAACTCGATTCACGACTATTAGACATCGTCTTATTTTGAGGTGTTTTTATGCTAGAATTAGATAAGTTTGAAATTTTTGTTTTCGTTATGTTATCATCTTCCAAATAATTTTTAAGTGTTGAACTTTTTATAGTAAGATTACCATCATCGTATCTTTTCTGCAATTCGTGTGGTGTAGCATGAGGAGAATCAACCATTATATGTGGTGAAACAGGTACGGTTTGTGATGTAGTAATTTGGGTTGTAGATTCTACATAATGGGCTAGTGTTTCGTCGAACATAATTTCTGGCATACTATGTCTTATAGATGTAAACGAAATTTTTTGAATTGATTCTTGGTTGGGTTTAAAAGATTTTCCAATATAATTTACACTGGTTACGCTTCCGTGTGCTTCTTCTCTTACTGTACTTTTCTCGACATCCTTGTCGGATAATATGTTTTCTTTTAAATTTGACTCCTTGTCGTCCGTTACGCTTATTTTTGGTGATATATTGAGAACGTAAACTTTTTGTGATCTTTCACCGTCGTTTTTAATTTTAAAATCTTCCACATTACGGATTCTGTCCTCAAGTATAAGAGTAGATGAATTATTTACTTGATTAGATCCCAAAGATATATTTGTAATATTGCTTTGGCTAGCAAGGTTACTTTTGAAGTTATAAGTATCATCTTCTTTAATTTCTAATTTCTGAAATGAATAATGGAATATTTGATTATTTTGTAAAATAGTTTTTTTAATCGGCACATACATACATTAATCACATACTAACATTAACTTGAAGTATTGATGATGATTTTTTTTGCAAATTAGTTAGAAAAAGTTGACTTTCGGATTTGTCAACCATGTAATTTTTCTGATTGATGTATTGTGTATCGCTGTAACTCTCGCTAAATTCAATAGGTGGGCGATCAGTTCCATTTTCGTCATAAAAATCTGGAAAATATTCAGCATCATCATCATTTGTCAATGTTTCTTCAAGATCCTGAAAGAAATCACATTAGATTTGTTTACTTTAGGTTGAACCATAGTTTCAAATAGTGTAAAATGTTTTGATTGATTCAATTATGAATACATTTCAAAACAGGAAACAACCTGTACTTACCCTGACTGGAGCAATCACAATTATGCTTTGTTCATCTCTTTGTTTTTTGTTTGTTTGAGCTTCATTTAGTATATTGTTTTTGTTATTTGGAATACTATCAATTACCTCAGGAGATGTTTTTATGTCGTCCGGTATACGTATATTATTTGTTATAGAAGATTTTTCAAGTGAATTTTTTAACAATGAAAATGTATTTGGTGTTTGTAAAAGATTTTCCTCTTGATTTTGTCCAGCCCCAGTCTCAAACTTAGAAATGTTCTGATCTCTCAAATATTCCTGAATGTGTTCTACATTTTGTTGTTTGTCAGATTGTAGATTATTTTCAAAAGATGATAAACCACTTTCGATTGGAGACAAATTTACCATTTTGGGTAGAACAGGTTCTGCTGGACAGCCTGTTTGTATATAAATACTATCCCTAGAAGGCGATTTGAAATTTGTGGCAATAATATTGGTCTGTTCTATTTTCATTTCATTATCTATTATTTTTTGTATCTCTTGTCCTTCCATGTTACTTGATATACTAGTTTCTTTACTTCTAGGTGGTTTATAGTATGATTGTATACATGTATCAGCACTTATTATTGACCTATTTTCTATAGTATTATTAGTCCTTAAAATGTTTTGATTGTCATTGTTGCAATTTTGGATTGATGGGTATGTTATAAGAAGCTCATCAAATAAATTACTTTCTACATCTTTATCTTTTTCTATCAGCGGACTTCTTGAACGTAGTTGCGCATTGTAAGATCGACTTGATACTTGATAATTTTCTACGTCATCTAGGGATTGGTATTTTACAATGTCATCCTTAACTAAGATTGGTTCATAAGCATATCTCTCTTCACCGAAAGGGGGATCAAGACATCCTCCTACAGTAAAATTTGATATGTTAGTAGCGATAGTATGGGTTGTATTTAAAAAAAATTAACAGTATTTCCTATTTATACTAACCTGGCTTACATTTTCCTAGAAACATTGTTTGAGCTCGATTAGTATCAAGCGGCTGGCGTACAGTATCTTTCTTTAACCCATAGCATCTTCCATTATTCATGAGATTCACTTTGGTTGCGCTAAATGTCGTATTTTCATTTTCTACAATAGGAGGTACGTATGGATATCCATCCTCATCATCATTGTTATTTTTGGATCCTAAACAGATGCCTGAAACCATCACAACATGTAAACAAACCAAAAAACTCTATGACAAAACATAAAATATTTATGCTAAACTTTACTTTCAAAATCTATTTTGAGAACTATATGAATACCTGGTCTAAAAATTTGGAAAACCTTCTTTTGCGACTTTTTAGTAGGCCTTTCGGATGATTTCATATCCATAAGAAAATCAAACGACAATATAGTTTGATCACTATTAATTAACCGTAAGTTTTTAGACATTTTAATGTTCTCAAATTTAGGAACGGATATAACTCCTCTATGGACATCATCCTTATGACGAAATTTTACTTTCACATTAACCGGCGTACCTACTGATTTTGGAGTTATATCGTCAAATATATTTTGATTGCAAGGTCCAGCCACCACTTGGAATGATAAATTCTCAACTAATTTGTTGAATGTAGAATCCATTTCCCTGAAAGAATCAAAGGTAGCTGACTACTAAAACTAAATAAAATGTAAGTAATTGTGTTTATAAAATAAATGAAAAATTAGACCATCAAACCCGTTCCTGATAAGGAATAGAAATGAAAAAATATGGCATATATTTAATTTTATTCATCAAACACGATAGAATACACTACACGATTACAATGATTCTCATTTTCAAGTGCAATTTTATCATTTATACATTTATTTTTAGAGTAATTAGAATTGTGAAGTAAACCAAATGTACTGCATTTTGTAATAATATCTTGTAAAATTATTTTAAGAGGTAATATTTCTTTCTCCATAACACTTTTGAAATAAGATACACGTGCATTTAAGTTAACAATGCTATTTGGATTACAATCGAACGAAATATTACACAGCGGAGGTTGACGCACAAATTTTCTTTCTCCTTTTGGATTACTTTTTGTTAAGGGGTTATACCGAACGATGGATTTAGGTAATTCTAACGCTTGTGGCGGATATTTATTGACTATATCTTCAAATGTGTCAATTTTGCAAACGGGAACTATTGTTAAGGTTTTTCTTTCATTGGACGACAGTTGCGGTATGGCATCCGTCAATGTACCAATGGTGGTTTTATTATTAAACTCAAGAGTGGAGTTTGTCTCTTTTTTAGAGTTTTCAAATTGACTTTCACTTATACATGTACCAAAATCTCTTTTAACTGTAAAAACAAAAATAAATAAATAAAAACAAAATTACATAAAAATAAAACTCATCAGTACTTTACCGTGTATATTATGTAATATGTTATCAAGTTTTGTTTCTAAATCTCCTAGATCATTAGGTTTTTCATTTAACATATTTAAAGCGTTTGGCCTAGATAGAGATACACATGCATTTATTTTATTATAACTTCTATGGATTAAATGGTCACTTATGTTCTTTGAAATATCGCCATAAGCTAAATCTTCATGAGACCATGATGGTACTAAATCGACGCAAGAGTGATAAAATCTCACTGCGTCATTGTCTTTTAAAGTATTGTGTTTTTTTAGTATAATTTTATATGTAATCGGGACCAAATACTCGATTGAGTCAGTGCTCTCTTTCCATTTTATTTGGTCGATATTTTGTATATTAGTAACTTCTGGTACTATCTCAAGACAACATTTTGATCTATTTTTAGCGAGAGATGTAAACTTTAGACATATAGCGGCAGTCGCCATTAATAATGATAACTGAAAAAAAAACAATAATAACTACGAAAATACTTTTTAAACCGTTGTTACTCGAACTGCCAATTCTTAAAATGCCGGTAACGCAATTGCGAGCCTTCTGGCAGAGTGTTCGTGATTTTTACGAGTACTTAACATCGGGTGAGACTCCTACCCGTTTGCTGCTTGTTAGAACAGTTTCTATAAAAAAAATTGTAGGGGATTTATTTACCTTAATATAACCTTGATAAAAAAATAAATTTTGTCATCCAAATCTTTTCACTAAAATTTAGTTATGCCCATATCACTATTATTTTTTAGTAAATTTCTTCATTATCAAACACTAAAATTTTGACACTAAATAATGTCAGCTGTGGGACATTTAGCATTACTTTTTTGTTCTAGACATAGACTTTAGAGTTAATAGGGTCTCTGTTATATACCTACGCAATAAAAAAATAAAACTCAACTTGCGTACATTACTCTTTAATTTCTTAACTCTCACTACTTTACAATACAATTGCGGACTTTACTGATTTATCAAGTACATCGTTTATTTTCAGACCAATGTATACCACATGTTTTTTATATAATGTATAAAAAAAAATTACGAGTTATATAATAACCCTTATAATTTTCATATTTATTTATTTACGTTGTAAACCGAATAAATAAAAATGTAATTAAAACCGATATTGTATAATTTTTTATGTAATACCAAATATTATCTGTAATCAACATGTTACGATTCACAATTCAATATTGAGAAAAATACGTTTCATATACTCAGGTAGCACTATCGAGCATCCCATTACAAGTGGTTAATACCAGAGTTTTTATACATTGTATAATGTGAGTAGTAAACGAAATGCTTTATATAAAGTTATATGGATATGCACATACTTTTATTACTTGTAAAACATTTTATTCGTGTTGTCAACTATAGCGATTTGAAAATTGTATATACAGGTATTATATACAAAAAACTTATACAAATATTTTACAACTATTTTATCTTTGGTATGAAGCTGTAGATCTCACTTTGGTACATGCTATGACTAATACACTTTATATTAACATTCTTACATTAATCATTATATTTTACATTTAAATTTACTAAATGTATAAGAAAACACAAATTAAATCCGATACAAACTGTGCTTAAACTAAAATGCTACACTCTACGTGTCCTAATAATATTGGTTTATTTTGAACTCCATTTTATTTAAAAACGTTTTTGACAATTTTTGCAATTTATGCATTGTAATTAAAAATTTTTTTATCTTTACAACTATTATAAAGGAGGTGTAAAATTCAAAGATAATTTTATAAGAGATATAATATATCTGCTATGTAATGCATTGACAATTATTCCAAGGTGAAATGAATGATAAATAGATACATATAATTTTATTTTAACATACTTTCATGTTACAGCTAATACTACAAACGACTAGACATTTGAGATCATTGTGAAAGCCAATTATCTCTTAAATTAATTTTGTCCTATACATATTTCTAATATAAAAATAACAAACAATAAAGTGACAAAGGAAACATTTATAATAACTATTAGTAATCCTATGGGCATAATTACTTTTACAAAATGTTATTTGTAGAATTTCTTTTTTCATATAAAAGTAGTCCACATTTAAATTTAAAAAATAAGACGCGCTCGTCGCCGTTCAAAAACAAGCCCGTTATTTAAAAATCACTTTTATTGTGTTATAACGAAAGTATTTGTATACTAGTACTGCCCTACTTAAGTTTCTTTCCGTAAATTTTGTTTACGCCGTGATGAAAAAAGGTATTTTAGTCAATGACGTAAAAATCCTCAAACAATTCAGCGTTTAGAAACATAAAAAACTTGTTGCAAATTAGGTGCAAGCGTGATAATAAAAAACATAATATACCCAATACTGATAATACTCAACTATACATATATATATTTTGTACAGTTAAAACTATATTTTATATTGCAAGTGCGTCCCACCTAGTGCTTTGCAACACGTATCCTATTTCTACACAAATTTGTAACATCCATCGTGCTCTGACTTCGTACTATAATCTAAATTTTAGCGTAATTTATATTAAATACCACACAAAAAGTATGCAGTATGTTTTAGTATTAAAACTTTTTGATTGCCATTTGTTGAATTTATATGCAAATACGTTTTAACATAAATTACACTAAAATTTCCTTAATATACTTTCTAGAATGTTTCTTCAATACCAATGTTTAAAAATGCTTTTTTTTTGTTAAAAATATATATTTTATAATAAAATAAATCAGTGGCGCTACATTCTTTTTAGGTTTGGGCCTCAAATTTCTGTTCCTGTTTCGTGATCAATTGTCAACCAATAGGTATTGGCAGCGTTCAAGTATTACGTAACGAATTTTGGGAGGGGGTCCTCTTGTAAAACGTTACGATGCGGGGCGGGGATTAAATTACGCGTTATTGTTAATATTTTTTTCGACTTACACCACATAATAGTAACTAAAGAGTCACTAGGTCGCCACGAAACGCTTTACTATACTTGGGTACAGTACTGTACTTTGGTACTGAAAAAAGTTACGGCGAGTTACATGGGGGGGTCAATAATCTCCAAAAATTGCGTTACGTAATACTTGAACGCTCCCTAAGTAGACGCCTCCTGTACGTCTATGTAAATAATAATCTAGAGGCGCTAAATTAAAGGGTTGTATGACTATATGTGCTGCCTTTTAATCCAGAACGCATCAGTTTTTCTTTATAGAAAAGTATGTGATCTGACATCAGTGCCTGACGTCGATTTTTGGGACTAGGTCTTGCTACGGCTTTCTCACGTAGACCTTCACATTACCAGCGAGTGTTGATTACGTAAATAAAAAAAAATAGACATCCGTGGTTTAAACGCTGCTATGCGATGCGAATGCGACGCTGAGAACCATCAATATCTTATATGCCTTAAATTATCCATAATCTTAGTCATGCTTATAAAAATTTCTGATATATTTGAAAGGTTCGTCCATTTAGTACGTTAATCACAATGTATTGAAGAAACGTTTTAAAAAACTTTCCTCTCATACACTAAACGATTTCCATCTCTAGACTAACATTTCACTGTAATTTTCTTTAGAGACAAATAAATATTCAATTATTTTTAATATATATTTTACGCTATATGAAACAAACGAATATTTAGATAAAGCCGTAATCTCGAACCTAAATCAAATGACAAAAGTTATCTCTTGACGAGCAGTGTAGCAGAACCGGATCACAATTCAGTGAGGTACTCCAGCATTAAAGAAGGTTCTACCGCCTTTTGTTAGTAATAATTTAAATATAAAATGTCATCTTAACGATTCCTTAATAGTTTCTATCTTCAGACCCGTTATGACGTTAATAAAATAGAAATGACATAGACAACGTAAAATTCCTCAAAATTATTAACGCTTACTTTAATGAGAAATTACAGTGATTTATGATTCAAAAATTCAATTGTTTTATGCATCTAAAGAAGTTAATGACAACTAATTATTTATGTGACTTAGGGTCTGTTTCACAATGTACGGGTAAGTTCTAAATAAGTTCCAAATTAGCTATTTATTATTTATTGGTAGGATAAACACTATTGTTGCGTTTCACGACTGTCAGATAGCGCTATTCGTCACATACAGTCCATCATAAGTTATGAGTCAGATGAAGTGTCAAATAGCACAATTTATCTTCCAAATAATTTATGTGTTGCATAGCTATTTGGTACTTTATCCATACATTGTGATCGCATCCATAAAGGTATGTTATAATATATTATGTAAGAAAGAAGACAAATAGATTTAAATTATCTTGCGACATAATCTTGTTTGTTTAAATTTATCTAAATCTGAGATTATTAAGAAGTGAGATCTATAATTCGCTACACGGGTACACAAACAAAGTTCTGCGTCGGGTTTTCTTATAATTCATATAGTTTAGCCAATATATGTGAGCTAAATACAGAGAGAAAGAAAATCAAAGTATTCACGCCTAAGATTTATGATGATCAACGATTTTGAGGAACGACTAATACTGAACCAATAAACAACATGGATTATAGGAAAGCAACTAAAATTATTACAACATTGACAAGTTATGGCAGTATTTTCGCTAAAGACAATATTAAATAAATTGTCTTTGGTTAAACTAACTCTATGTTTACTTATAAACTATTTACATAACTTAATTTAACTATGTTAGTTTTACGACCGCAGTCGACTATTTACAAATGACTAGATGCACTCATCTCTGACTAGATAACTAGAAAATATTTACATTTATAGATACTATTTATTAATAAGAATAATTGATTTTTAAATTTTATAAGTGTGACTGTAAGATATATGTACATAATAATTAAAATATTAACTGAATACAAGAATTATTACGCGCTAAAACATGTGGACTAAAGACTTTTTTGCACACGGTACCGTTTTGAATACTATATTTAAAAAAGTTTACCATGGTAAATTGTACGGTACTGATTTTTTTACCATATTTTTTGTTTGTTAAATACGATAATACTGTGTCCGGCAAATACTTTGGCCAGTATCGTAAGATGTGGTTTTAAGGATATTTCTACTAACTACGTATTAAAATGCGCATATCTCCTGGACAATTTATTTGCCGAGACTATCGTGTTTAATTCGAATAAGTAGAGACGATTAAATTGGTCAAAATTCGTTGTATTTTTTGGTATCATTTCGTAAACCTTTTTATTCGGTAATAAAATATATTTTTTTCATAAAATGTAAACATTGAATAATTGAAACTCTACCGCTTAGTTATACACACTAATTATTATAATGCGTTGCAAATACAAGATTAAGCTAAGAATTTCCATTTCACTGATAAGGTGTTAATTATTTACATGTTTTAATTATACTATTCATGGCTATATTTTTATAATAAATGTTTATTGAATGAGAGGTCGCTAAGGCTTATAGACATTCGCTATAAGTGAGAACAGTGGATAAGCTTCCAACTCTCGACTCTAAATCTTACACTAAATAATTTATTTTTTAATTACAACGCTAGAGGATTATTAAGGAACTTTGTCATTCTATTGTTCACGTTGATATTACAAAATGTAGATTTACATATTATTTTCTCTAATTGCCTTGCCAATATTTTTATTCAATCTGTAATGTGTTTAATTTAGTACGTAGACTTCTAAAGTAACGAAAAAATAAATGATCACTTCCGGTTCCGAAATAAATAAGCACTTTATTAAGACACAGATTCTAAATTTAAAATTTTAACATTATCGTGTCGTCTTGTACCACGCCCTTCCCGTAAACATCTGATTGAAATGCACCGACGGGCGTGGACCCGTTTCAGGTACACAATCCGGAATTATCCACTAGCGATCTGGCCAGAACATCGGCCGCCGCTATATCACTCACTTTACCTTCAAAATGTCCTCTCACGTGGAACATAAACTCGGCTTTTCCCGCGAATTCCTGCCGACACATTAGACACAAGTGATGTGCTTGTGTATGCTGTCTCTCTGGTGCATAGTGTGTATGACCATGCGTGAAATAGGTCCCGCCACTATTTTCATTAACCACTGTAGCTGTAGACACTGAAGCTGAGGCAATGCCGTGCCCATTCAATATCTGCTGATTTTGGTTGTGATGGTGCAGCAACTGAAGTTTTTCCTGATTCGTTAGATGAACTTTTTCTTGTTGCTGAAATATAAGATATCTAATGAATTAAAATCAAAATGGAGACAAGAGGCGTGGCCGTGGGAATCCGAGGTTGGAAACGCACTTTCTTCTGATACATATTATAGCTATAACAGAAACCTTAGGTCTGGGCCTAAGATTTCTGTTTCTGTTTCATAATCATTAGTCAATTTAATAGGCAAGTAGGTGATCAGCTTCCTGTGCCTGACACACGCCGTCGACTTTTTGGGTCTAAGGCAAGCCGGTTTCCTCACGATGTTTTCCTTCGCTATTCGTGCAAATGTTAAATGCACATAGACAAAAAGTCCATTGGAGTACAGCCGGGGATCGAACCTACGACCTCAGGGATGAGAGCCGCACGCTGAAGCCACTAGGCCAACACTGCTCTATATAAAAATAATGCAATAGTCTTTATTTGTATATGTAATTTTTGTTATTCAAAGGTGGCCAGTATAACCTTTATCGTAGAGGCAAAAAACATTAAACATCAATATTAATGAATATTATTTAGTTTTCTAATCAACTAAAAAGAATCGTATGAAATTGCCCGTTCTGGCTGAGTTGATCTGCCACATTATCAAGCTATGACCGTTTAGGTGTAGTATAACTTTATTTTCCCTAGATTAATACAATAAAGAAATATCAACAGACATTGACCAACATAGTGATTATCTTAAGGAAAATGTTATCAATGTTATTGATTATTTGTCCTTTAAATAGACTGTAATAAGAGACAGGATGAGTAGGTACGCAACAATGTTGAAGCATTATACAAATTTTTAAATAGCTGTATCGTGCAAGAAATCAAGGAAATCATATTGATTAATTATAAAATTAATTAATTATAGTGTACCTGATGTTGTGTCGCCTGCATCTTATCCTGTAAGAGCTTGTTGTCTGGTAAATGTGATTTTGCATGAGCAGTCCACTCTTCTCTAGTAGCAAAAAGTCTACCACAAAGTTCACAGGACCAAGATACTACCATGCCGGCTGTGGCAGCCGCTACGGCGGCGCTCGCCGCGCTTGTGTGGACTAGATTTGTATTCTGGAATATTACAACGATTCAAAACCTATTAACAATACCCCTTTTTTATTCAAAAATAATTTAAGACTTTTTTAATTATATCTAATCGTATACAAAATATGAAATATGACACAATATCTAAAAAAAAACACATTTTTTGACAATTGACATGCGGAGCCTGGGTGATTTGCCAGGATTATAAAGATATAAAAATGTAAAGAAACTTATGAAATTTTTTAATTACTTTGTAAGCATACTGACAGTGAACTCAAAGAAAGATTAAAAAAAGAAGAGAAGTCATGCCAACATTTATATTAGATGATTTTCTACTGAACGTAAATTTCTCCATGCCATGAATTCTCATTGGGATTTACCGTAAAGTTGTGTCCAGGTACCTGGCAGACCTGTATAGGCTGCTGATGGGAATGTTGTTGTTGTTGCTGCTGCTGCTGTTGTTGTTGTTGTTGTTGCTGCTGTTGTTGTTGCTGTTGCTGCTGTTGTTGAGCTACAGCAGCAGCTGCAATTTCCGCTTGGCTAGGTTTTGTATCTTCTTGTTTAGTTAATTGAGGCTTTACGTCATCTAACTTTAAAGCTGTAAACGAAAAAATAAATGAACTTACACTGATAAATACCATGAAGAGGAGTGGTATTTTTGTCACATCAACTTACGCGGTATAGTTATAGTTCGTTTACCTAGTGGAGCTATATTGGACGGCGTTATGTGCTTTAGTTTATTCATGTGAAGTACCAGCTTGTCCCTTCTCGCAAACGCTTTATTACACACTTCGCAAACGTATGGTTTTTCACCTATAATTAAGTAATTAACTGTTAGTTACCTATAACCTACATTACTTCTATCCAAATGTATTGTTATGTATATTACCTGTGTGTATTCTCATGTGGATTGTTAATTTGTCTTTACGAGCCAATCCTTTTCCACATACTGTACATTCAAATGCTTTGCTACCTGAAACAATCACATAGAAAATTAGTCTCTAGGGTTGATCGAAATCTAAAATTGGAGTAATCATGAATATAATAAAGTATTTTACTTTCACTCGTTGAACTTGTAGGTTTGATTGTGGGGTGTTTTCTCACAACAGACGATCCTTGTAACGCTTTAAGTCGCGTTCCAGGGTGCATAGATCCACCTTCAGTATATGGTTCCGTAAATGGTATTAAATTTGGTCTTGGAATTGTATTTGTTACTTCCGGCGACCTGTAGACGATGTCGTAACTAAAAGCGTCTATTAATTATAATATATAATGGAGAGCTAATTAATGATTAAGCAATATACTATATAAATGGCTTTACAATACAAAAATAAATATATTTAATTTACATAATATAAACTACATTTGATTAGACAAAGTTATTTCAGTAAAGAGGAATTTACTAAATGGTAAAGCCATAATTAAATAAGCAGGTGTATGTAATGATATGAATATCTTTACCAATTTCCAAGGCTTTGTAGAACACGAACTCCTCCTTCAAATCCCATTCCCACATCATCTGGTACTGTAAATGTAGAATCTGGGCCACCGGTACTGGAGCTCACTTGTGGGACTTTTATTGGAGAATTTATTGTAGTGTAATGATGTTGTGTGGAGCTAACTGTAGGTGGTGATGGGTGACCAGGATGAGTGCTAGCACTTTGTGCTTGTTGTTGTTGCTGTTGTTGTTGCTGTTGTTGTTGCTGCTGTTGTTGCTGCTGTTGTTGCTGCTGTTGTTGCTGCTGTTGTTGTTGTTGCTGTGAATAATAATGTATGTTTAGAGTATAATTAATTAAATCATATTCGTTATTTAGAAGTAAATTTTATTAAATAATTTACTTATTTATGTAAAAAGAGCATAATGTATTAACTTTAAGAATGGAAAACGTAGCAACTTTTGATTTTATTAATGTTAGTATTTGTATAGAGTCAGAAATCAGGATCGAATCTTTCTAGTAGTCATCAACGAATAAAGCTTAAACATATGTTTTATATAGCGAGTAATTAAAATTATCTTATAATATCTGTAAAAAATACTGTTCGTCCCGTTCATATGCTATTTCCTCCGAAAATTAGTTATTGATACTGTTTTCCCCAATATAAAAATATTAAGTGATATTAAAAAAAAAATAGTTACCTGCATTTCTTGGTGGTGTCGATTGCTATTTGTTGTAGTATTCTGTTGCTGCTGTTGCTGATGCTGTTGGTGCTGCTGCTGTTGTTGTTGTTGCTGTTGTTGTTGTTGTTGTTGTTGCTGCTGCTGCTGCTGCTGTTGTTGTTCACGGCGAGCGGCAGCAGCAGCTTGGGCCATGTGCTGTTGAACTGCTACATGTGCTTCTAAATACGCTGTTTTTTGTGCTTCTGTCATTTTATCCATATTAACGGTGCCATCCTAAAACAAATAGTTAAGAACATTGAAATTTTATTTATTTTTTTAATTCTACAAGTCGCCTCTGTGATATTTATGAAAATAAATCAGTGAAATTAATATATCTTCTATCTACTTATTTGTATGTATATCTTTATGTATAATATCATCGATGTGTACCAATAAAATAAATTATCAATAAAAATCATCAAAACATGCAAATCGCGAGTGGATAACACGTTATCACGATGAATTGCACAAATTATTTACTGTTGGTTGCTAAGCAAGCTAAATGCTTTTATTTAAAAAAAAAGTGTAAACTATTTTTATTGTAATTAGCCTCAAATTAAAATTATTATTATAAGGCTTATTATTTCAATAATCTACATATTTCTAATTTCTAATAATTTACAGAGAAATAATAACATTATTGTTGAATCTCATGGACCTAGTCATCTCCAAGTATTTTGTCTTTAATAAATAATATGTTGAAAATGTCTCGCAATACGTATCATTCCGATACCGCTCCCGTAATAAGCTAGAAGATATATTATGACGTATATGGGAAATTAAAATATATAATATGTAAATATGTGAGGAACATGTATACTAACTTTTTTAGAATAGTATGTGAGGAACATGTATACTAACTTTTTTAGAAAACAATTCTTCTCCACACGAAACTACCTTTTGGCAAGGGCAACTAGAATCTTCTTTATATTTTATTTGACGTCCAAAAGTGCCATTTTAGATGGTCTAATTGAAATAAATACTTTGACTTTGAATTTATTCATGAATAAATATATATATTTCTTTAATTAAAATAAAAAAAGAGTCATAAATAAAATTATATGGATATCCCATAATTTAACTTTTATCAATGTTGCATTGCAAACCCCCCACAACTTTTTTATTTCCGCCTACGCACCTTCCTACCCGCCACCTAACGTCTTTGATGCGTTCAGAGGGACCACCCTCAGTGCATTCACCCCAGAAAGTGAGAACAACCCCCTGCCTACTTTCATTCCATGACACGATTGAACACCCTACGTTTAATTGCCTAAATTCGGCAAGGGATGGGGTCAATGCACTCCTAGAAAATAGGGAAACGGCTTCAAATGTTTTGTTGTCAAGGAAATTATGGAACTGTATTCAAAATGAATGAAAACTTGTCTAGACACTGTCAATGTTATTACAAACATAACTTTTTCTTTTTGATGTTTCTGCTTCGACAAACGTAACTAAAAAAAAATATTTTTTTTTTTATTCTGCATTGGTTTGAGATAATGTAAATGTTTTAATAAAGATATTATACAGTTGAGATATTATAGAATTTTGAGATTAAAGTTACATCCATTATTCAAGTTTGTCGATATAAAAATGCTGGATTGGGCCAGGTTTAATAAAAAATAATTTAATAGCAATAATATTGATTGATTTATTTGCGCACTTCTATAGCTATCATGTTAGATGGATTGGCTAGTTGCCGAATGCAAAATTAAAGATTTCTTGTCAATCAAAAAGTGCAAAAATAAACTTCTTAGTGAAATAGTTTTTTTTATTTATGTTTAAAAGTTGGAAAAATCTCGTGATTATATAAAAAATCTTTTAATTATACATTGATTACTCGTGTAATTAAAAATATTATTACATTACGAAAATAATGAGTATTACACACTATATTTTTATAGAATAATTTACTGTGAATACACTAAAATTTTATATGACTATGACAATATCTCTCCTCAACACGCATACTTTTGTTGTATAAACTTCCCTGCATATTATGCAAAACGCTGCCTACGCATATTTATAAGTATCTCATTATGAAGGACACTCTACCGATCAGAATTCGCAAATCCTTTGTTTAGGGGTCCACCCTTCATAGATATGAAAGGGGGCGAATCTGGCCCTTATCAATCTCGCACTGATTAAAAGCAAACTACCCCAAGGGTGTACATATGCCGCCGTGGCCGAAGGCGCGCCACGTGTATTTAAGTGTTTTTCCCTATTAATTATAACTAGCATTTTTGTGTATATTTCTCCGCCTTTTCATATGCTTTAGTAAAAATACTAAACAAAAAATTAAATTCACAAACGCGCAATGTACGTTGAATCCAAACAGGTAACATATCTAATAAGGTAAGTAACATATCTACAATTATAAAAATAACGTCAGTAAATTAATGTTAAAAATAAAATACACAAAATGGGAATATCATGCCAAATTTAAATAAAACTTCTTTGACGTTATTATTTACACGTGCGACATTTCGAACTCTCTCAGTAATCTTACTCGCCTAAATCAAAGGCAAAATAAACGTCCAAATCAAATATAAACGTCCAAAATATAAAAATATACGAACCCAAATAAAGAAATCGCTATACTCGAACGCTGTTGCAGCCATGTTCACTTATAACTTAATAAAGCACTTTAATTAATTCCTTGCAAGTAATAATAACATTTATGCGTTGTTTATTTATAAAGGAAATGCACTATGGTTTAAACATGTTGGCCCCAAGACGGCCACCCTCGTTGCTTTCTAAGTGGTAAGTGTAGGTTGCCCTTTGCAACGGTCGCCTGCACTTACTCTACGCATTTTGTGTGAGGGGGATCCCTAAAATCTTAGCTTTCTTCGCAGCTACGGCGTCTACGGCGTAGACTTTCTCGTAATCGATGGCTACAGTGAAGTTTTATAAGTCAATTGCTTTTTGACAAGGAAAATGTTACATATGTTAAATAGGTATGTTATTAACAAATTTAAGTCCCTATTAATCCTACCCCATTCATCTAGAAATGTGCTAAACAAAAAATCTTATGTGAAAAGCTTAATCTTATGTGAAAATGATACATTAAACAAACAGCTGTTCTTTCAGTTCATTAAAGTTTTAAAGGCCGGCAACGCACCCACTAAAAATGGGTGTCTATGAGCTGCGAAGACTGCCCTTTTTGGTCGTCCCGCAAGCTCGTTTACCCCCCTATTATATTAAAAAAAGTATTGAAAAATTACAATAATACTCAAACATTTTCTACGAAGCGTTATGAATAAACATCGCTGAACCAAGAAAAACCTTAAGCCTCATTAAATATTCAAAAGTGTAAGCTAAAAGTTCAAGGGAACTGCAGCTTTGTTTCACTAACGAATAATACATATTTAATTTACATTGTTACACTGGACTATAGAGCGAGAGACATTGGAATCTAATCCAACTTCAACAATGTATTAATCATAAATCTGACCCAGATCTTTGAGGAATGAAGAATCATAAAAGATGACTGAGTTAACGGGAACATGTCAAAGCATTCTTCATAATAGAAGAATAAAATAGCTAACATGATTCTTTTACAAAGTAGATGCCAAAACGCGGAATTTGCCTTCGCTGATACAGCCACATTAGGTCTATTTTTGATCTCCATTTAGGAGTGTGGAAGCGCAGTGCAAGTGATGCTCAGGGGTGCTCCGGACCCCGTCGGGTGGCGGGAGGCCGTAGTAGGAATATCCTTCACCCGCTAGGTCAGGGTTAAATGTACCCCCGGCTGCCTTCGACCTTCGAGCCGATGCGTATATTGCACCGCCTGCATACCACCCAACACAACGCGTTTAATATCAGATTATTCAAACGTTCTAAGTTTAACAATATAACAATGTAGCGTTACTGAACTTAAGCTGAATCAAAACGCACCTAAAACGAAATACTCATCGACCAACTCAGTTATATTTAGCCGTAATAAGATACAAAAGTCAATAAAGACAAAACATTCTGGACATGCGTAGCAACAGTGAACGAAATCGTATCGCTGTTTCGGAAAACCTTACGACTGCCGTATTAAAGTAGATAGTCTATTTCTCTTAAAGACAAGAGGAGTGTAGTCAATAAAGAGTCGTAATGTGTTTTTATTGAGTTCGAAATCGTTTGTCTTTGTTAGTCCGAGTCTGTGAAGGTAATGTAGTTTGTAAAGGTTATGATACAGGGTTGAAATTTGGTTATTTGTCGCTTGGGTGGTAGTTGGGTCGATAAGCGCCGGGCGCTGTAGATCGATAGAGGGGCGACCGTGCATTACTGCGTGCCGGCACACGCCATAACAAGCTATAGGAATTCTTTGGGCCGACAATGCTTCAACATCAATGCAGTCTAATTTATCGATGTTTCGCATTTTATCTTAATGCAAAGAGTTACTGTCTTTGAACTCGTTGAAATGGGAATCTCTTTGTCGAAAGAATTCTAAATGCAAAGTGATGATTGAAGTAAGCATCAAAAGGATTTTTTAATTTGTCTGAAAGTTTGAAATTAATGAAAAAGAAGCTTTATTTGGATTTTCAATATATTCTCGATCGTGAACGTTTTTTGTTCGGGATATAGATTATAGAAGATATAGTTCCAATCTAGTTCAGTTGACTTTTTAGCTATTCTTTTTCTTTATTCGCTTGTTATTTGTCTTTTAAAGGCATTGGCGTATATTGGAGCTCAAATATAATCAATCGGTAGCCCGATTCTTATCAAACTTTTTACTTACATGATAAAAGTATCGATCGGGTATTTAATAAGTCAGATGCTCACGCTACAACGGGTTTTTATTCATAGAACAATAACGAAGTCATTACAATTCAATTTCTAGTAATATTCTAGCCGTTTCTTGCGGTTTTAGCTACTTTAATTTAAGAGTCGTGCGTGTTGCAGTGCTATTTTAAAACTATGATATTTTCAAAAATATTTTTTGAAATCAAATGATGTCAAGGACAATTTGGTTTAAAATGAATTACTTGTTAATGCTATATTTTAAAAAGGATTAATATCATATCTTAATAAAAATATTGCAAACAATAAATTTTTAGAACAAAACTAATAACTTAATTTTTAAACGTTTTTAGCAGATTTTAAGACAATTTTGAAATAATTTTTAATGCCATACCTGAAAGTTGATAGTCGATGTAACGATTCTCATGGACTCAGCATAATTCCTAAGCACGGAATCCGTGTTGAGACAACTTTGCCGCCATTCGTAGAGTTGTTCCAGCCTCGTGACGCACCTTTCACAAATCTTCTTCGGCAAAAAGTCATCTTTCGATATCTGCTAAAGATTCATTACTATTAAATTAACAGACATATATATATATATATATATACACTTTTAATTAAGCACTATGATAATTTTACGATTATCGTTACTATATAGTCACAAATCAGAGCTTTTAAGATGGTAAAGTTTATAAAAACCTCCATTAAATATGTGAATATATTAATTTCAATATACTGTTGAACTAGCTTCAGTTGGTACAAAATTGGCGTTCAGCGTTCGTTCAATGTGTGATAATTTCACAGTGTATTTAGGTTAGTAAACTAAAACTTTAATACAAACGCTGAGAATGTTGCAGTTCAAATTAGTTTTAGAGAAACAAGTAAATTTATAATACATAAGTTGTAACAAATATTTGTATAATTTTCAATAATTATAATTGTATTTAGCAATGGGAGAAAGACTTAAAAACAATAAAATGTAATTTATGTTTACATATCTAAACAAAATTTTAAATGTGAGTTTTAAGTCAAGCTTTAGCTTAAGATTGTTTCTCATAAAAGTTAATAAGTATGAGTCACAACAAATTGTAATTTCCCTCGGGATCAAACATGTCTCTTGTATATTAAAATTTAATTATTTTCCTTCATTAAAACCATTGCTTACCCTTGTTTGCGTAGAATACGCAATTTAATAAAAGGTTCTATATCAAATTCTATTTATGGTATAGAATGAATCGTTTCAATTTTTTTAGGGGCTTGTCATATATAACTCCAGCTGGCATTTACATTATTATAATATTCTTAAAAGTAATTGAAAAAAAATATAAATAAAACGTACAGCACTAGAAGTAAATTATTTCAGATTTGATTCATTTAATTGAGTTGTACCAAAGTCCAATGACAATAGAGGTAGTGGTTCGTAAAGATTATGTTTCTGACGCGTGTCGCATGTTACCCTAAACCAAAGCAAATATTGCGGAATGGAGTACATTAAAGTGCATTAAAATATTTAAATAATTTGTAAGTATTTTCCTAAACATTTCTACATTAGTGACTATTAATATTTATACTATTTAAATTTAATAATATACTTTTTTGTTTAATATAATAAAAAAAATTGCAAGGTGATATCAACAGGTATGAAGGACGTATCTATCACTTCTAAGCTCTTTATCGTAGCAGCGTAGAGCGCAGGCGCCTACGAGCGAGGTAACCGCACTCGACGCTCTACGGCCGTCTCTACATAAAGTAGTGCCGTTCTAAAATCACAATCCTTTATTATGCTACGATTTATGCTGTTCAAGTGGTATGGGAATGCCTTTCAGATATATATTGGAAAATGGTGAATTTAAAGTGGTAATGAGGTGCCTGGTACTCACCATAGTGGGTAGACAAGTGCGAAGTTTGAATAGTATCTGCCTCTGCTCAGCCTCCTTGTCGAAGATGTGGAGACGAGGTCCGCTCTTGAGCGAGCAGAGGCGGCAGAGGTCCGTGAACGCGGTGAAGTTGAGGTCCTCGGGCTCGGTCATCGCGAAGCACCGGATGAGGAGGTCGAGGAGGCAGGAGTTGTCCATGAATGCGGTGGTAGCGACGGGTGGCGGGAGTTAGCTCATCGCTCGGGGAGGCGTCACGCCGCCACTGCGTTCGGGGGGCACTGGGCCCGGCGCCCGGCGCGCCCCCCCCTCGCCCGTCGACCCCTCACACCCCTCTCCCGGTAGCGGGGAAAATGCGTGTTTTTCCCCGTCTCACGTCTGCAATTGATAATTGTATTGATTATGACATCTTAATTCAGAGGTGGACCGAACAGCTTTAAAATAGGTCAACTAAAATTAGAATTGACCATGACTGTAGAGTTTTTTAACTGAAATCCGCATACTATCCTGCTAATGATATTACCATGAAATCAATAGTTTAAATATGTTAAGATAAACGAAAATTAACAACCTCTAAAAGTTTGTATAGAAATATAATGAGTAAAATATTTTTTAAATGTTTTTTTTACTATTTTTCTATTATGCTTAATATTTACTTACCTATATAATACTCTAGTATTCAGGTCACGTCACGGGGTCAAAGGAGTATTTTCACTTAAGTCAAAAATGAGACACGATTTATTGACAATATGTCAAATTATATCCTGACCATGTCGTTTTATGTAAGGTTTTTTTCATCAACTTGTTTCACAAAAATCTTGGCCATTATATATATTGATTATATGTAAATGTACACTAAATACAAGTAATATTTATAAACAGTAAATATGTCCGCCATTTCGACCGATTCGATTACCGGCCAAGCCTATTCAGAGCGAACACTCGCGATAATAAAGCCTGAAGCTTATGAAAATTCTGAAGATATTGAGGGACATATACGCAGTAATGGATTTATGATTCTCGCGGTAAGAATTACTTTCTTAGTTCGTCATTTTTAATTTGCTAGTAGTTGAGGAATTCTTTGGAATGATTTTTCTTTGTTTTGTTGATTTAGTCGGTTTGACAAGTGATTACAAGAAATTTATAATCACGGTACACGATTTAATACTATACTAATTTATTTGTTGGTTATTTACTTTTAATATTTTTTTATAAAGGAATTACTATATAAATTACATCCCAGGGATTATAATTCTCAGAAATATATCTACTGCTTTTTACCTACGGCGTTTTAAACGATTATTTAATAATAATGTTTTTTTGTGTTTTAATAACTAGCAAGTTGTTAAAATAAAGAGATTTCAACGCATTGGGAGAATTGTGTTATAATTTCTTTGTTCCCATGCGTCATATAAAGTCGAAAATATAAGTAAATCAATAAAATTTTCAACTCTGGCTAAAAAACTTTATGTATTTTTTATATCCGATAACGAAAAAAATTTCAAAATTCTTATAACCATTTAGATAATCTTAAAAACGAATAAAAAAATATTCAAGTATCTACATAAATCTTTATTATGAGTGCTTAATATCAGTACCCATTATAGAAGTATTATTTAACTTAATATTCTGATAGGCGTACAATCTAACTCAGTTCACTGGTACACAATAAAGTCGATATCGTGACAATGCAGGACACGAAATAATGGGGTTTATCTATCATAGAGCTCTATCGCGCCATTAAAATGACTCACTTTTAACAAATGACTCCACCCTTACATATAAACATGAAGAAATGTAATAATTTACGTAGATATGTCATATCTGATAATTAATATGCAAATTAAAAGTATGAATATTTTCGACCGATGTAGTTGTATTATTTGAATTTATATTAAAAGTTTAGAACTTGCGGTTTTGTGTTAATTTAAGGTTGACAAATTTAGCTTTTTTTAAACCTTTATATTGAAAAAAAATTGTCTGCCGCATTATTAATTGAAGATATATGTTTACTTTAAATGATATGCTTATGAGAAATTGCGATAGTAATAATTATATGTGAGCATATATGTACTTACTCGTATTATGTTGTACTTACTCGTGATATTGATACGTATGAGTATTAAATCAAATTCTAAATTTGGTATGTTGCAATGGCATCGGAGGTCATTCAAAAATATAGATGTGCTAAATCAAAGGGATGGCCGGAGTAGACAGAAAGGGTTGTATGCAAAATTCACGTCAGCAAGGGGTGCACTCATTATTTTAAGTCACCGACAGCGAGCGACCCTTTAACTAAATAGGGCTGTCTATACAATTTAAATTGAATAAAAAAAAATAGTTAAAAAAGATATTTATACAGGTATTAAATTATCAAATTACTAGCCATGCCTGATGCCACGCGGTTTTACTCGTGTGGTAGTGCAAAGTCTATACGGACTATAGATATATTTTTGTTATCATAAAAGTTTTATTTTACTTAGGTTTCTTAGTTTTTAATTACTGCCTTTCAGATTATTAGATACACACATTCATATAGTAATAACAGATTTTGCTTTATAACGAATATATATTTAATACATTTTTAAATTCGTAACATCATTACGTAGAATGTCCGACATTTGACAGTAAATTTAAAAATTCTCTACAGGTCTTGAAAAATTATTGACTTCAAGTAGGTAATGAAAGAATTTTTTGAAGTTATACTTCTTTAGGCGCGTTATGAAAAATTTATGAGAGTGAAATTTTACGATGCGCGTGCACCGTGACACAAAATTAACAGAATGAAGTTGCCCACGAGATGCTACGGCATTGGACATACTTTAAAAACCACATTCGAATAATAATAGATTTATGTTATGCTTAATTTAAGAGAATAATAATAAATATATATTTATTTAATTTTTCAAATGTAAACTAAACTTTATTGACTTTAATGACTCCTTTTCCAGTCTTTGATTAATTAATTGTAATTAATTATTTGCATGCAATCAAAAACTATTTTTAATAATGCCAAAGAAGTATAACTTCTTAAGCGCGTACATACACGCACCCTTTTTTTAATCAGTCCAGGAATTTTCGGCTTGATTATTATGACTTGTTAAAAATAAAAACAAAAATTTAAAATGCAAAACTTTCTTCTATAAAGTAAGAGATATATTTCAAGAGCTTCAGTGCCTTTGCCTTATAACTTCACTATACACAACATTTTTGTTTTGATGCAGCAAAGTTATTTTATGTTTTGGAGTTCCGACTCGGGATAGGCCAAAATACAATTGCTGTAATACTGTACAACATTTTTTTGATCAATAGTTTCCACAGCGCACGCGATGACAGATTTTTTATGAATAATTTTTCACACAATGGGTTATATTATTGCATTTTGTTAGGGTTACTTTTTTTTGAAAATAATAAAAAATAAAAATTATAGCCTATGTCAGTCAGTGAAGATGGAGCTTTTTAAAGGCGAAATAATTTTTGAAATCGGTCCAGTAGTTTTTGTGTGAAAACATTACAAACATACATACAGAAACACAAATGCTTCCTCTTTATAATATTAGTTTAGATATATATCAAGATATTGTATGCTGAGGATAAATAAAATCCATTTCTGAACATTTAATGACAATTATTTGCCGAGACTTAGAAGTTCGCTTTTTAGATGCTTAAGACTATCCTTTAATAAATAAATAAATAATATTTATATTATATGTTGGCTAGCAATATTATAACCCCAGGTACATTCAAGAGTACGAACAGTAAAAGCGTTTGAAGTTCTATATATTAAGGGTTGCTTGCACAGTTGAAATTAATATATTTAATTAGATAACTAAAACGAATTTTCCCTTTATATAAATACATGACAACCCTGTGCGATGCTGCTTTGAGCCCCCTCTCAGCGGTCAGTCTTGTTATCTATGAAATGGAAACCATAAAAAATTAATCACGATTCGTATTGACTTTTTGTCTTATTTAATATATTTTTCCTATGCTTCTCATTTGACAAAATAGTGACAATAACATGGCAAAGTCTATTTAAATTAATCCTAAAACTGTTACTTGAGCAAACGTTTGATCATTTTTGACAATTGACTCGAAGTACAGAAATTAATTATTAAAAAGATATGCTTTTACTACACACTGGGGTCTGGGAGTACGAAACAGTATATGGGAACTTACTTCTAAGACAACGTTAAAGACTATCATATTTTTAATCCAGAGGCGAGAAGTTCGCCTTACACCAGAACATGCTGCGGAACTATACAAAGGTCACTACGGAAGACATCACTTTCCACATCTGGTGGCGCATATGTCAAGTGGGCCTGTAATAGCAATGGTACTTGCAGCTAGGAACTGCATTAATAGATGGAAGACCCTTATGGGACCAGCCAGGTACGAACACAATTAATACTTTAACATGAAATAAAAATCTATTTCGACAAATCAAAATCATATAGAATGAGTAGGTATTTTTAGTACCTACAGTACACCCTACACGGTCGGAGTTTGTAAGTAAATTCATCAATTGAGGTTCACAGCTATTTTAAAATAACGTGGTATGGTATAGTTGTTTATTTTGTAGGTTGGCTTAATAATGTGATTTTTAGAGTCGTGGAAGCTCAAGCTTATTGGCCAGACAGCCTTCGAGCCTGCTACGGGCGTCGCACTAAATACGGCGACTATTTTAATGGGCTCCACGGTAGCGCAAATTTGGCTGAAGCTATCAGAGAAATACATTTCTTTTTTCCTACGAGTAAGATTCAAAATAATTTAAATTGGAGATATCTATAAAAAATAGAACATACAACCGTAAAAATATTGGTACCTAATCAAAATTTCGTTCTCATAGTCACAATCCTCGGTAGTATAGTGGTCAGTATCCCCGCCTGTCACGCGGGAGACCGGGGTTCGATTCCCCGCCGTGGAGTACCTTTTTTTAACTTTTTAATTTTATTTCGGAGGCACATTGTAATTAAGTTTATGTTTCGTGCAAAATAAACGACATAATATTTATTATTTAAAATATTTTCAGTGATTATCGGTCCCATACTTCGTGCAAGCCAGGTGAACGATTATATACAAAAGAATATCACGCCAACATTACTTCCTGCTCTAACTGCATTGGCACAGGAACGACCCGCTGAACCAATATTATGGCTCGCTGATCACTTACATAGACACAACCCTAACGAGCCAGAGTTAGCGCCGCAAGCGCGGGAAATGCGAGAAGACGTGCGCTGTCAAACGCCAGTGCCCTCTGAGGAATCTTACAAATGAAGCTCTTACTTATCTAACATACTATATTATTTTAATTCCAAACACACATAGGCCTGTGCAAGGCACACTTGGATGTAGAAACTCAATAATCTCTTCTCCTGTTACTTATGACGATAACGTCTATAGCATAAAGTTACTTATATTAATTATTACATTGAGAAAATACATAATTCATTTTAATCTATTTTTAAATAATTTAACTAACAGAAAGGATTCTTTAATAAAATGAATTAGAGCAAAGCAGTAGTGTATTTATTTGACAAAAATCTAAAAAATTTACTAAAACATTGATACTATCAATGTTTTAACTATATTTACCCATGTTTTATAATATAGCCAATTTTGTACTGATATTAGAATGTCTTTAAGCGATTTTTTATTATAAGTATTAAGAGAGACACAAGTAATGTCTTATGAATACATATTTTTTTGCCTTATGAGTAGAAAAAAGGTAAAATAAAACAACTCAATATTTTTACCCATCTTTAATTATACATAGAGTTTACAAAAGATTTATCTATCACAGACTAATTAATCATGTTACAAATCGAAATCACTGAAATTATATAAACACAATCGTGATTATAATTTGAAAAGAAATGAACTTTTTATAATGAAATTTAAGTTCTTATGTTTAATGATAATTCGTAAAGCTTAATATTAGTTGGAGTAATGTTATGAAACACAAAACAAAAATTTATTCTCTAAAAATAAGAATTTTAACCTAAAATTATTTTGAAGATGCTTAATTAAGAGATTACGAAGGTATATAACGTGGTGCTGCTAACCTGAAAAAAACATATATTTGTATCATTATTTATGCTCAGTAGAAATTTTCATTACTATGTCACTTAGTCATCGACTATGACTTTACGATTACGTACTATGAATTAGTTATAAACTAATTTTACCCGTAACGTTGGCTTCTAAGCCGATATAATTATTATTTCGCTGAGAATTAAACTCAGCAGCAGGGTTATTGGCCCTTCAAAGACGTGAAACCCTTGTTGAACAAATTTCTTAATATTTTACGTGGAATCAACCCATTCCCGCTATTTAATGTATTTCGAATAATGACACCTTCAAAATAGTAACATCACCGTGACATAGTATTTTTACTATCTTTATGTTATCCAAATCTTTATAAAAAATGTCTTTTCTAGATTATAATGATAGTATTATAATTATTCGTCCTTATCTTGATAACTAAACAGATAAAACATTAATCTGTAGTATTTTTATTTTATATAGGCATAATTTGTAGGCAAACTTGTTTTTTTTATCGACGGACTATGGTTACGTTAGGTTTTATAAGAACACTTTAAATTATATTAGACAATTCATATAATTTTGTGTTTCAAGACGAGATTGATAATAAAAATACACTTTCACGATCATTAGATCCAAGCTATAAAACGAAATAAAATATATCTATAAACTGTTAAATATAATCAATATATATACTATCTGTATTTATATATATATTATAATGGAAACGCCGGTGACGTCATTTGACACCATATCGGCTTGCGGCATCTCTTGAAACCTTACATAGAAACTAGCAGATACGGTCGGTACTGCTAAGAGCTGAGCTTTTTCTCAGTTATACTCCTGTGTGCTTTCTGTTCCGATGGACACTTAACTACTAGTGGAGTGAAAAGTATATAAAAATAAAGAAAATTTAAATTAAGATATTATATATTACCTTGGGTTTATGGTTTACCATGATCAATTGATTTCGGCTAGACGTATACAATGGGACTGTATTGTTTCAAATTATAGAAAAAAACCAACACGGTTTTAAAAAAAAACATTTTAAAGTTGTAGCTTTATTATGTATGCGTCTTACACCTATTTAAACATACAGTAGCCTAAGACTCGGTTAAAAAGGTTTAGTATTGTATTATCGGGTTGTAAGATTAAAAAATATATTTTTGTCGTAATTTTTCCATTTTTAAATACGGCAACACTCACTTAATGCTTGCCCTTGTACATTTTGACAAACGCAGCATCTGAAGGGCTACACAGGCCGATCTTCTGGCAGATGCTCTTCGAACCCAAATCTTCGATCAGATGAATTATGCTGTCACCGTAAATCTCTAACATGGTGTGGCACTGAAATAAAATAAAAATATAAGTCTTTCAAGTCGCGTTAGTACAAACTGTATTTTTTATAGGTTTTGACGTCATAACCGTCTCTAAAATAATCTCTGCTAGCAAAAATGTCTACATATCGATTATAACAAAGTTTAATTACAACACTATTGGTGTACTGTTAATTATAAAACAAACTAAAATAGTACTGTGATACAATGAATATCGAATCACAGATAACAAAAAAATGTGTGCGTGTACTAGGTGTACACACGTAAGAAGTGAAACTTCTTTATGACCTTATTTTTCGAAAAATGATCTACTATATGCAACATTACAGAAATTGGTTAAATAAAGTTAAATTAGATAAAGTTTAACAAAAGGCTTTTATTATTATAGACATGAATACAAATACAATTATTTCATTTTACCTTATTACTACTAAGATTATTACAGAATTTCATTAATTGTAATAGATTTATTACTATCATTGTTATCGTTATTATATATTTTTGTTATTAATGGCTTTGAATCTCTTCGGATCAACCGTAGTAGGGACAAGAAAAAGATGGCGCGTAACCGAAAAAAGTGACGGTAAATTTTTTTCCGACGCCGATAAAGAAGTTTGACTTCAAAAAGCAACATGGCGCGTAACCGAAAAACGTGACAATTTGCTCGAAATTTCTCCCATACGTCGATAAAGAAGTTTCACTTCAAAAATTACGTCATCTTATTAAAAAAATGGACTGTAAATCTTTTTTTATAGATTTGATAGGAAAAAAAAAAAACTTTGTTTATTATTCCCATATACGTAAAATATACTTACCCTGCTATAATATTTAGCGGGCAGCATGTTACACGATTTCTCAACGATATGAACGATGTTGCGATCGACTTTGTCATTATTAAGGACTTTCTTCACGGCCATCACAACGGTCTCGCACACTGCACAGTCTAGTATTTCAGCTGAAAAATCAATAATTCTAAGGTGTTTTCGTTTTTCATATATACATGATCTTAAATAGAGAAGTTGGTATGGTGGAAACACAAGAGTAAGTTTATTGCCAGTTCTTCTCTTCCGTTCTACGCCCTTGATTTGAGAACTGGCAGTAAATGTAAAATTAGAATATGTATTTCTTTACTGACGAGTCATAAGTGTACATTATGTTACCCATATGATTAAATGATTTTTTTACGTTACTTTTACACAAACTGGACAGTTTTTCTGTCCACCAGGACGTCGAACATATTTAAATAACTAATTTATATACTAAGGTCAGTGACATATACACTATAACATTAAAACCATTAAAATTACGTAAAACGTCACAAACCAATTGAAACATTGAGGCACAGTTAGCCGACGCAAGAAACCTGTTCATGACGAGAATTCTCATTCAAATACAGGTGTATATATATTCGTAGACTTTTTATAGAACAGTGGGCAAACGGGCAGAACGCCTAGTAGTAGAATCTTAGCATCGGGGTCACCTTATCTTTAGTGTTACCGCCTCCCATGGGCACTCAATGCCAGAAGGCTCGAGAGTGCTTTACCGGCAAGAATAATATACAATATTCAAATACGTATGAATTAAGAATTAATTTATCTTTTTGGTTAGACTTACTTTTAGCAGTCTCCATAGATGTGGGGTCACACAACTTCAGCTCCCGACAGACTTCATCGGCATCCAACTCTTGGGCCAAAAGACTGATGACCAAATCCGCGTACTTCTCAACGAACTGATTGCATTCCGAACGTACAGATTTTGGCATGTGCTTGCATACACCTAGAACTATCTTCTTGATTTCATCCTGAAATATTAATAGCAAATTAATAATAAAAATAAACATACAACTTCCGTGTGTGTGGTTTTAAAGCCACAAAATCAGTGTACATTTTACTAAATAAAAAAACATACTTGGAACAACACTTGAGAAAGTACCCGTAGAAAGATAGAAAACAACATTAAAAAAGAACAACAAAGATTTAAAATTTAGGAGAATTCGTTGTCGATAGAATCAATCAAATCTTTGTAATAAGTTTCAAAAGGATTATTTGTATAATTATTTGTGTTGTTATAAATGTTTCCAATCTGATTCTTTAACACTTAGGTATGTAAACGTAATGTGTAACATGGATATTGACGGTGCGCTAAAAAATATTCTATAGTCAGGGAATGCTAGGATTATCAGGAAATGTTATGAGTCAATTGACCGTTGATTTTTATTGTTGCTTTGGTTAATCATAAAGATTTCTTCTATTACTTTTAAGAATCTTAATTCATTTTAAATCGATTTGTTATTACTTGTTTCATACTGTGGAATCATTACTTAACGAATAAAAAAACTAATATTGTTACGACCAATCAGAGCAGAGCATATGCCTTGAGTCAACAGTGCAGTGGGTCAACGCCATCTTGACATTCGACGGTGCGTTCAGTACTGATTGAGTATTTAGTGGAGGATTGTGGTGATGAGAGGTTGGACCTATTTGGGTCTAGTAGATTGTGATTAAAAGAGATGTTACCCTGAACACGGCTTGTTATAATTTAAGCTAAAGTGTTTTTGTACGATAATTATTATTCGTGTCGTATAAACCACTGACGATGGAGTGACGATATTTCTCCGAAATATATTTATAAAATATTATAATATATTCTAAAAAATAATGTAATTATATTAAACCAAACTCACGTCATTATGCTTGTCTTTGATCTGATCATCGATTTCCTTGAGCACAAATTCACAAACAACGCAAATAGATTTTTGTTTTGACCCAGACACTGGTCGGCCATTTGCCGTATGGTCTGGGATCTCGTTGGTCACTGAAAATTAAAACATATTTATTAGGAATTGTTATATAACAACTTCGCAGACGAAGCAATTATTGCTTATCACTGCTATCTTGCTTCAGTGCTGCGCTATGGTATCGTTGTATGCGGAAATTCGGTAAATGTGAATATCGTTTTTATTACTCAGAAAAAAATGTTTTAGGGCTATTATGGGTGTTGGACCTCTTGTAAGGTGTAGACCATTTTCCAGGGTACCAAACTATTTAATCACCTTCCCAGAAGTAAGATCATTGCCTTGTCATTATTTCAAGGGAAGGTGATATTTAAAGGCAAGTTGCCTCATTAATGCATAGAGTATTTAGACCATAGGTTTTTGACATCAATTTTAAAAAGGTTAACTGTTAATAATTAATATGACATTTGCATGCCTATTTTTATATGGCTGATTGTGTTTTTTCTTATATCAAATCATATATTCATATAGATAACACAATGTACACGAATGTCAAAAAAGAGAAATAATTAACCAATCTCTGAATGTACCACTTTCATTGGAAATAAACGATTTATTATTATTATTTTAGAAAAATGAAGTTTCAATTTAATAAATAATACCTGAATTTTGAAAGATTTTAGTTCTAATTACCAAAATTTAACTTTTGATATGGCCTACCTCGTAAATAAGTGAAAATTCGATAGATATCTTCAAAATGAAAAAATGTGCAAATTTTAAGTCCTTCAAGTCCTTTAAATAGGTTTAAAGAACTTTATTACTCATAAGAACTTATAGTTCGCTTACAATGAGATACAGTAGGTACTTAATTCTAAAAGTATATAATATTAGTCTCTCTAGGGCGTTGGAAACATTACTGATTGCAAATAATCCTTCAGACCTCCTTTGAAAACATTCATATTTTCGCACAGCTTCAATTCTTCTGGTAAGTTGTTAAACAACTGTGCTCCTTCGAACAATATTGTTGTTTTTCCGTAATTAGTCCGCGGTGTTATAAGTTGAAGCCTATTTTTTTTTCTCAAGTGGCTTGTATTTGTTTTTTTATGCAACTTTATATTAGATTGGATGGAATTTGTTATAATTTTCTTTACTAGGATGCATGTGTAGTATATATATAGTTGTCTAATATTTAGTATTTTTGTTTTTTCATATAATATTTTAGTTGGAGTTAGGTGATTATAATGGAATAAAACTTTTATAATTTTGTTTTGGGTCCTTTGTAATTTATTTAGATTAGTTTTCGCGGCTGATCCCCATATTTCAATTAAATATTCAAGATTTGATTTTACTAAAGAGTTGTATATAATAGTTCGTATTTTTTTTGGGATGCAGTGTGCAACTTTACGTAGTGCAACTAACAAAGACATTAGTTTTGTTTTGACATGATCGATATGCGACTTCCAGGAGAGCTGGTCATCTAATATTAGTCCGAGATATTTTTCTTGAGTTGAGCGTTTTATTGCAAATAACAAGACTTTAACAATCATAGTTCAGTGTGTAAGAAATATGATGTTGATTTAAGTGTGGTTTGGTCAAAGCACTTAATCATTGCTTGGAAGCGCTTTATACAAAATATAGTAACCATGATAATTATAGAAATCGCTAAGCTTCGAAAATAGATGGCGCTATAAGAAGAATAATTCAGAAGCCATATATTGGAAATTTCTTATAGGTATTAGACGCATTTCCATATAACAGACAAATGTATTTTTTTTCTGCTTTAAGTGCCAACAAATTTCTATAATTTTATTCTATTTAGTTGTGTGCTTGTATTAATCTTGTATATGTTTTAATTGTATTTTTTTTTGTGAAACTTATGTTTACGTTAATTGTCACACATTTTAGATGTAAGATTTTGTTAAATAATTAGTAGATTAAGTACTGTGTGTGTGCGATGTCGTAAGCTTAATAACTAAATAAATAAATGTACTCACTAATATCACCGCCATCTTCCTTCTCCAACATGTACTTGGGGAGCATGGGCTGCCTTACATTGTTCCTATCACCTCTCAACTCCGGTTTCTTATGGAATTTGTCAATACCGGTTAATTTCAAGGGATCGGTTTTTTTGACGTCATCTTTGCACAATTTGAGGTAAACACAGATTTCCTGAGCATTAAGATCGGCTAGAAGCATTTCTACCAATTGTTTGGAGTAGGCTTCGACGAAATCAACACATTCGGTGCGAAGTTTAGCTGAGAGATGGTTGCAGAGGCCGTCTAGAGCCTTTTCTATGCTTTGCTGAAAATATTAAAAGGTTTTTCAAACATTTTAACATAAATTTTTGGCGTTTTAGTTTAATTTTTTATATCAAAACTACACTTATTTTCCCGGGCGTTTGTGTTTTCGTTAGGTTAAAATGTGTATTAATAATGTATTTAGACCTTTTTCTATATTTTGTCAAATGATAATTAAAAAAAAGGATGGATTATATATTTGTAGCATAATAAAGTACTCAAGAACATGTCGTTTAAAAAAAATTTAAAGCACGCTATGACGTACGTAATTCATTAGCGCGTGCACGCATGTGTTCGTGACATCACAGTAGGGCACGGAATTCCTTTGCTGCCAATGTATTCTTTACTTAATCTCTCCGGAATATTATTAACATGTCAAGCTATTCCTCGTGTCACATTGAACAACAATAAGAGAGACAAATCTATAACTTCGGCTTCTAGTTCGAAGTCCCAATTTTATTTAAATAAATAAAAAGCAAATACAGAAATAATATAACTCACCTCAGTACGATTATCTTTGAGCATAATCTCAAGTTGTTCTACCGCAAATAAGCAGAGCGGGCAATTCGATTTATCAGAGTTTATGGCGACACGGCGCACCTCTGTTGTCGACGTACATAAGTTCATGGCCGGGCAAATCTGGAAATGATGTAGGCATTTTAAATACAATATATATATACATAACTTCCAGCTTATCAAAATGCCGGAGACATATTTAGCCAAACACCATATCGGCTTGCGGCATCTTTCGATACCTTACATAGAAACTCCAGCAGATACGATCGGCACTCCTCTGCTAAGAACTGAGATTTTACTCAGTTTTTTTTTTTAAAGATTTTTTGATTTGGAGCAGAAAGAGCAAAAATTTATACTCTTTTTTGCTCTTTCTGCTCCAAATCGTATGTACTGGTCCCGTTTTTCGGACAGTTTATAACTAAGTGGAGTGTATACTTCACCCCCAGCCCGTGGCCCCTTTAATATCTCGTAAAATCTGTCATGTTACTTATTATTATATATCTTGTTTATATACGATTTCATTTAAACAATTGGAAAGGGACCTTAAGACTATGGGATCATATACTATTAATACGAAAACGCAGAACACTAATATAAACTTACGAAACACGATTCAATATAAATAAAATTAAAAGAAAACGCTAAAATATAAGAATAATTTTTTCTAATAGTAAAAATTTCTACTTACGCTCGCGGGATCGATTTCTTGGACAAGCAGAGCTATAACGGCTGGTCCGTACTCGGTCACAAACTGGCGACATTCAGAGTTAATAGATTGTGGCAATACGTCGCACGCTTCTTCCACTGCCTTCTTTATTGTTTCCTAAGAAGGTTTCATAAATTAAATTATAATCTATAGCGTTACGGTAAGTTTTTAAAATCTATTGTACATTTTTCGAAGGGTATGCATTCATTGCACTTATTTCTGATTTCATACTTGGATTTGTAAATTTAAATAAATAAGAATTGTAATCATTAAACCATTTTGCATAATATCGATTGTTTAAATTACAAGACAAATCGGACAGGAAAAATTACAGGTATTTATCAGTATGCAAAGTTTACATTTGTATGGTTTTATATTAAATATTAAAAAAAATTATAACTAAATATTTCCGCATGTCAAAATCTAAAACTTTTTTGACTTGAGATTCATACTTAGTGCTGTCTCGACTCAACCCTTAGTTTCAATTCAATTCAAAAATCATTTAATGTATATGAAATGATTCTAACTTTATATTTAGTGCCAGTTCTCAAATGAAGGGCGTAGAAGAGAAGAACTGACAATAAACTCTCCGCCACTCTTTTTAATCGCCATGTTTTTATTACACAACGTTTGTAAGGAGCTGCAACCATTACACCATGTTCCACATGACATCTTAAGTAATTAATAATAATAACATAAATTAAAAACAAAGATTTGTCCTCTATCAAGGAGGCAAGGTGAAATAGGAGCGCGCGCGCTTACATTCTTGTGAGAACAGCACGCAAATACATAGTCGAAATAACTAACATCACCGCATACACGAATTCAAGTACGACCAGTCACCACAAGTAGAATTTCAAAATTCAAATAGGCAAAACATAAACTTTTATACCTCTTCCTATTTATAAGTTAACTTTAAAAAACGTTATTACAACACTAACCTCAGTGTTGTCATCACTTAATTCCACTTGCAGATAATGCAGGAAGTACTGGCAGAATGAGCAGACGGCGTCGTTTTTGGGATAAGTCACAAACATACGCTCAATTGGTAGTACAGCCTCACTTCCCACTATTTTTACGTTAACTTGCTTGTTTTGAACTGGGACATGGGCCGGCTGAAAAAAGTCTAAAATCTTACACACACACAATCCATACAAATATTTTCTTTGTAACACATTTAAAATTATAACTTTTTTTTATGTTACAGGAGGCAAACGGGCAGGAGGCTCACCTGATGTTAAGTGTTACCGCCGCCCATAGACACTCACACCGCCAGAAGGCTCGCAAGCGCGCTGCCGGCTTTTTAAGAATTGGTACGCTCTTTTTTTGAAGGACCCTAAGTCGAATTGGTTCGGAAAAACTTCAGTGGGCGGCTGGTTATTTGTTGGATATCCAAACAAATCCATTTATTTGACGGTTAAAAACGCGATTGGTATATGTTTATGAGTAGGGGGATGCCTACAAATTCAAATTTAATGACGTGAAATAAGTGATACATGTATCTTATGTTCCATAATAAACATATTTTATTTTTTTATTTTACGCCTTTAGTACACCTACGCAATCGCATGCGGCAGCGAAACGACGAAAAAACTGTAAGTTGTATGGCAACGTTTCGCATGTGTTTTGTCTCGCTCTAATATATAGCTAGATGAAATAGTTGCGTCCTTGTCGGTATTGTTTCGCAAGTAACTGCGAAATGGCTGTTACACAGACGCAGACGTTTCGCTAGTAAAGTTTCGCATCGCAAGGCGTCACCACGCGTTCTGTCAGTGAGGACAGAATTTCGCACAATGGAAGCCGAAAATATTGAATTATTATTGAATTTGATTCGAAATTATCCCGAATTATATTTAGTTGAGCATGTTGGTAACAAAATCCTCTTCAGAATCTGAAAGCGACGACTGGGACGACTCAGATGACATTCTGAAACGACGTCTGCACCTACAGCCCACGAAAGCTACAATGACATATCCTTGCGAAAAACCTGCAGTGTACTAACGTTCCGCAGATATTTCGCTACCGCAATTATTTCGCAAAGACTCGCAGCCGCATACGAACGCGTAGGTGTACTAAAGGCGTTATAACTCGAAATTTCTTGGTGTCTAAATTGTAACGAAATTTTTTATCACTATTAGATTTTTTGTAAATGATCCTACGAATAGGCAATTAGATATATTTCAAAACATTAAACAAAATAGTTCAGCCTTGCGAAGCCGGATATTTGTTTACATAAAAAAATAACCAGAAATAATAAAAAAAATAGTTTCATATCTTACATTTGATTTGTAACTTTCGGCTTCATCTTGACCGATCAACTTGGGTGACATGGTGATAGCTTTGATGGCCATTTCCTTCGGAAGTAAAGGAGCCACTGGTCCTTCACTGGGCTTCCCACAGATGCCGATGAAGCTGCAGATCTTGTCTTCCTTGAGTTCAGACACGAGGAAGTAGTAAATGGTCGAGTGATACTGCTCGACCAGTTGAAGGCATTCGGACTTGAATTTGCCGGTGCTTTTGCAGAGACCTGAAAGTTATTTTGAAGTTATACTTCTTTTGGCGCGTTAGGGAAAAATTATGAGAGTATTTTTTTACGATGCGCGCGCACACCGTCACAAAAAATCGACACCTTGAGGTTAGCTATAGTCAACATTTTAGTTTATTTGAAGTTATACTTCTTTTGGCGCGTTAGGGAAAAATTATTAGAGTAATTTTTTTTCTACAAACGTAGAATAAGGCTAAAGATTTTATGAAAAGATTTTTATCTTGTTACGCTAAAGAAATAAAACTTTTAACGTGTGTACATAAGTATACACACGTTTTTTTATATTTGTAAGATGTTATTATCAGCACAAAACGGAAGATACTAAATCCTAAAGCTAGTAATCATTTGTTTCTAAACAATATTAGTTCGAAAGTTGGGTAACGGCAGACCCTACATATCGGCAAATAAATACATACTAATATTGAGAGGAAATTTTAAACATGAAAAACAACTGAACCGGTTTCAAATAGATACTGTTTTGTTTTTACACAATAAATATTCTAAAAATAAATTTTCATTTGTTTTTTTTTATAAAAAAATTACCACAAGCCGACGTGGTTCTTTCTGTATCTGTTTTGTCATCATTTTTATACAGGCACTCGACTTTTTGGGTATAAGATATACCGGTTTCCTCACGACGTTTTTCATCACCGTACGAGCGAATGTTAAATGCACAGATTCGATGACCTTAGATGAGAAACGCACGCAGAAGCCACTAGGCCAACATATCGTACTATACACACTCGTCTAACAACACATGATTTTTTTTCAATCTTCCTGTTCCGCGTAAAATCAGCAATGAAATTCATCATGTCTATACGTCAAAGACTTACCAGTTAGTACTCTGTGGAACTCGACTTCTGTGGTATTAGCGACAAGTGTGTTCCGCAAATGTTTGATCACTTGTTCGCAGAATTCACACGGCACATCACTAAAATAAATATACATTTCTATAGTTATTGACACGACAACTAAGATTTAATGTTAACTATATCAAAGTAGCAAAAACATCGAATGGATTCTATCAGTTTAAAAGATAGTCGGTTGACATAAGAACCGTAGCTGGTCCTATGGTCTATGTGTCAGGACAAAGTTAACTTAGAACCAAAATAAGATGTGTATAGGCTCTTGTATTTTTTTTTTGGAAACCAAAGTTTATAGTTAGTTGAAAGGCACTCGAAATACTATCACACTATTAATAAAAACTCGCACTTGAATTCTTAGTTCATGCGTCAACTAAACGATACATATTCTAAATACATAACTATATACAATAACAAGCTGTCAAAAACTGATATTATACATATACACTGAACGAAACCATCGGTGAATTCGTGCGACAGAGACAGATATACAAAAGTAAAATGAGGAAAAGAGATAGCAAATGTAAGCTCAATTTCTTACTCGGTCGCTTTGACGTCAGACAGATCATCATTTTTGAACGTGTATAGATCGTGTGAGTGGTATCTGTGTGTGCACTGGCCGCTAACGTGACACACTCCGTGCGGCGTGAAGTCCTTCTTGATTGCTTCTAGAATGTTCTCGTAGTATTGGAATACTAGCATCGAGCAGGAGTCCGATAGAGAACCGACTTGTTGGCAGACCTGTTTAGATAAACTAAATTATAATTATGGATTCTGAAGACTTACGATGCATTATCCAAACGACAGCTTAGTAGGTTAACATTTTCCTATGAAGGTGATCAGAAGATCTTCGAAAAGCTTTTCCTTACAATTAAGTTCTAAAGCTTTTTAGAATGAATGAATGAAAATTCCTGATATCATTCCTTACCATAGTTGTTTCTATATTATACTATACTAATATTTCATTCCGTAGAGTTCTGACATTTCATAAGTGTTGCCACTAAAAAGTTCTCCACCGAGAAGGGGACAAATTAGACCCATTTGAGGGCAATAAAAAATAAAATGCTACGTATTTTAATGTTTACCCACAAAAAGGTAAATCGAAATAAATACTTACTCAAGTGACCTAATACAAAAATAACAAATATTTCAATAACTATATTATATAAATATTTAATATAAATAATTGCCTTTAATTACTTTTTTATTCTTTAGCTGGCATCACTGCCTACTAATTTCAGGTTTAGTAAACCTTTTTAATAAAATAAAATGTTATCATAACTTGAGCGTTTTTTACTGTTTGTGATGAAAAGGGCGTAATTATCATCGCCGTTAAACTTCTTTTAATGCGGAGGACTTTAATAAAATGTATCCATTTTCACTACCAAATAAAATGTATGTATAGACTCAGATGTTCAAATTCGTATTGAAATTAAAAAATGTGCCCGGCCAAAAAGGTTTGCCATCTCTGACATGTCAAAAAATAAAAGCTGTCAGAATTCTACGGAATTAATAATCGGTATACTCCGACATAACAATATTTTATGAAATGAATTGTTAATATTTGTTCAGTTGTTTCTTGTGCGTCATATAAACATTGTTTACCTGTAAGAGCTTCACAAGGAAATCTTCATAGCTAGTAGAGTCGAACCGTTTTCTTAGCACGCCTACAGTCCTGTGGCAGTTGGTACAACCTTCGTGGAGCTTCAATGTAGCATTCTGAAATAAATTATTTATATTTAATACTTCTGTATATATTTAAATAACGAAAACAGTTGTCAAAAAAAATAAAAAAAAGGTTTTAGGCGTAATGTTTTTGGTTTTATGGAAGAGTAATTTGAACAACCTGTACATAATTAATGAATAAAGGGTAAAATATCAATCGAAAGACGAAATCAGTATTAAAAATAAAATTACTTATTTACTTGAACTACGTTGCCTTAGTGTACATTTTGTATTAATATTTTTTCTATTGTATTACGTAGTAAGAATAGAAAACATTTTGACATTGATTTTATATCTGTAATAAAAGTCGTTTTAATTAAATACTTACGTAATCTTCAAGGAGCCGGTCGATCCTGGCGTTGTTACACAATCCAGCCACAGAACAGACCTGATCAGGATTCATTTGTGAAGAGAGAGTCTCAACCAATTCTGGAACGAAGTCATCCGCCAGTTTGATACATTCCTTTGTCACGATCTTGATTGGAATCAATTTACATTCACCTTCGAAGACTTCTTTAAGCTCCTCCTAAACAAAATACGTTAATGAAATACATGAGAATTACCTGTTCATTAAGGGATTTTTTTCCAGTTCTTTTCCTTAATTCCTTTCAATAAATAGGATATGTCTTGTAATAATAAAATCCGGTAAAGTATTTCTTAATTAAGAAAATACATTCAGGATATATTCGCCAATGGGTTTTTATTAAAAAACAATCATTCAATAAACAGAGAGTAGGTGTCGGCCGTTCTATAGCTGAGGTATTGTCCAAATCGACACTAATAAATTAAAAGATTTTTAAAAAGTATATTTTTGGTGCAACATTTATGATGATATTTTTTGCTTTTTTCATTTTATTATGCTGGTGGAAACTATTATTCTTTCGTAGATTAACCCGCGTGGATTTCGTATATGGCAGGAATGTTTACGACTTCTTCAACAAAAAGCGTTAAGACATCAGGAATCACATTATGCATTGGTCAACTCTTCGGTAGTTTTTGAATACATCGCGGTCATACATTCAATATATTGGAATATTCTATACGCTATCAAAGTTTTTGCAATCGTGAATGATTTTAATTAAATTTTGGGGCATATAGCAAGATGCACAGATAAAAGATGGACTTTAAAGACAACTATACTGAAAGGACTAAGGGGAAGAAGAGGTGGATAGAACATATAGAAGCGTTAGCGAATGGAGAAAATTCCATGGATAGAGAAATTGTGAAAAAACTGGAGAAGGCTTTTTACCCGTGAAGGGCTCCGATCAATGGTACTGAAGGAAGTAAGGATAACGAGTAACTAGAAAAAATTATGTATATAACAAATTTAAACTATACATTGTTAACATTTGTAAATATTGGAGATAAACGGGCTTTATTATAATTAATTAAATTTGCATGAAACAACAAGATATGTGTCATCGGTAATATATTTGTGGTTTATTTATATTAAGAAAATCATACCACAATTACTCACAAAATAAGTACGTGGCATCTAATATGTTTAAAACACACAAGGCCTATGTAACTGCTCAATATTATAAAACATATTTTTAGTTTTATTAATCTACCAATTTAATTTGGCGATTTAAATAGTAGCAGAGAGTTTATTGACAGTTCTTGTCCGTTCTACGGATAATAAGAACTCTCTCTAGTTTAGTTAATAAGAACTGTCAGTCCTTATCCGTTCTATGCCATTGATTTAAGAACTGACTGAAAATGTAAATCTAAGAATTCAATCTTTATAATACATTTACTTATTACCGTTCATAAGTGTACGTATATATAAGTGATAATCTGTTGTTTATAGCGGAAAATTGTAAGTGAAATTATATAAGTCGTTATCCGACATTGGATTCTAAGTCAATATATAAAGAATAATAAATGTTGATTTCTGTGTCATTGTTCATTATCGGTCGTCGGCACAAATTGACCTTTGGGTCAACAAACAAAGAAAATAAAATTTATCGCAATTTTAAACGGATTTCGTACTGTCAATTACAAAGAAAATGTACATTAATTCCAGTCATTTTGTAAAACTTTTTTCGACATTAAGATAAAACCATAGAGCGCAAAATTTACAAAGATCAACAAACATATTCATTAAGCATGTATAAGTAAATAACTAACCCATACATAATAACGTGTGTATTCATATAATAATTCTTTAAACGAAAGACCAAAGGGATATTAAGGATATTCATCTAAGCCAGCAGCAAATCTTAACTTGGCTACATCAATTTCCACTCGTAATAAGAAATAAGAAAGAAAACTTTGACCGCATCAAGTGCCACTTAACGTTACTGATAGTATAATAAAAATGCGACTTGAAATAATGTGTTATTACACTTTTCAGGATTATCTCCACATGATACACACAAGTGTACATTATTTTTTTGTAGACTCGTTCCGTAACACATACAATCCATAAAAACATATTATTACTAAAGCATTACGCTTTAAATAATGAGTAAAGGGAGTTAACTATACCTGTGTTTCATTGCTTTGCAGTTGATCACGCGCCTGCTTCACCATGTCCTTGCAAATCTTACAGATGCCATCGTCATCCTGAGGGAACGTCATTCTGGACCATACACGTTGCACGCAGTGGTGTGTGGCTTTGCATTCCCGGCCAGTACTGTAAATATCAAATGGCTGCTCAGGTACGGGGCAATGGGGGGTTGTGGTGGTAATTTATAAGAAATACTTTATTTGTATGGACGAAGACATTTAACAAATAGAAGACACCTGTACGTTCTTTCCGTTATCGTATTCCTTGGCATCAATCAAATATATTAATATAAAATATAATCCTACATTTGTCTTAGGAAAGAGAAAGAAAAAAAGAGAGGACGCCCACCAGAAACCTGGGAAGAGAAAATAAAAGAGAGAGAGATTGGAAAATAAAGCGAAGATGAGACACAAATGGAAGAATTTAGAGGAGACCTTCGTTCGTTCGTGTACAAATATTAAATACAAAAATAACATAAACCTAATGTAATCTTTATTATAGTACTCGAATATAGGGTATTTATTTTACATTTGACTAAGTTAAATTCTACGAATAGTTGTTTAACCCTGGCGTAGATAAGAGCATTTAATTTTGTTATCCCGTTTCAAAAAACAAACGCAAGATTATAAGTTTGCACGGCAGACACTTTGGCACGTATGCCTATCACTATGAAGGTGACAGTAACATGACAATACAAAGTAGACGTAATAGATCAAGAGCCCAGGACTGCCAGACCTTCATTTTATAAAAGCTGAAAGTTCTTCTGTGCGTGTCCCCTATACAGGTAAGAACGACCAGAGACTATAGAGTTTGGGTAGTGGTTACTTTGGCAGATAACAGGTAGTAAAGACTAAGCGCTCGCGCTCGGACCTACAGCGGACTTTCAATGTGTCTGGCAGGGTGTGCAAAAACCATTGAAACTGTCCGGCTATTGAGATATCATATTTTCATAGGTCCCCAAGTAACATATATAAAATTTAGCTTTTATACTCTAACGAAAGTATAATTATAATTAATTAATGTTTAGGGGTGTCTGGCAGGGGGAAGCAACTGTCATAAGTGTCCGGCAATGTATGACGATATTTATAAAGTTATCCCTAATAAAATATAAAAAAAATTGAGCTTTATACTTTAAGGGATTTAAGGTACAATTTTATACACCTTTACTACCTGTTATCTGCCAAAGTAACCACTACCCAAACTCTATAGTCTCTGGTCGTTCTTACCTGTATAGGGGACACGCACAGAAGAACTTTCAGCTTTTATAAAATGACGAAGGTCTGGCCTAAGCAAAGAGCCCTGGGCTCTTAGGATATAATACCAACCGTTTAAACAGGAAGAGCTATGCATTATCAAAACAAACTTGATACAGCGAAACTATTACAATTGAAGTGATTGCAAAGTATTAAACATTTGCTAATATTTATATGATGATCTCAAAGAACTTTAATTAATAAAACGGTAAATTTATACTTATTATTATTATTAAGAGATTTTTTTGTAAGAGTAAAGTACCAAAAACAACTAGACCGATTGAAATTATATTTAATTAAAATTATTTATTTAAATTTTCCCCCTAATTATTGTCCCATAATATCTATATAAGAAAACAGCTGCAAGAAGAGATTTTTACTTCCCACATAGATACACACAATACATGTCTCCGTCTCAGCGAAATAAATAAAAGCAAATAGGAACGAATTCAATTTAATCTTTTTACATAACATTATAAAACAATGGATTAATTCTCAAACTGCAATCAAGCATTGCGTTTTCTCATGCGCTCCATTAAGTAACAACGAATATAGGTAGAACGTCAGATAAAGAATTTTAAATTTAAACTTGAGCCAATATAACTGCATTGATCTTGCAAAAGCGATCTTCTTCATTAAAAATGATACTGATGATGTTCTACTTTCTTCAAAATTAGGTTTATATTTTTGTATACCGGACTTATGGGTCCTCTAATTTTAGCAAAAAATGTCTTATTACAACGTATTAACGAAAGTACTTGTCTCCTTTCACCACAGCGTAAACACAGAGACGAAAGTGTACTTAATATGGAGGTTTTAATTAGATTTATTTTTAATAAATAAGAGGGGGAGGGGAAAGAGTAAAACTGCTAAGACCATAACAAAGAAACGTACATTCACGGCCGTTTTCAATTTGGTTTAAGACGTAATTCCTTTGTAGTTTTAAATCAATATTTTTTTAAAGTTGTACGTTGAAGTCAAGTTTAAAACTATCTATAATAATAATCTATTATTTTCACAACATTAGCGTCCTATTACATCCAATAAGCAAGTTGAAAGGGAAACAAATCAATATCAAATTGCGAATCGACCTCAATAAACAATCGCGCGCGCCGTAACTTGTCTTTATGTAATCATTTTTCCTCATTGTACCGAGGGGCGATTTATTATGAATCACACAGCGATGTCTCACTTGTTATTTCTGCATTATTTTTATGTAAATTATATATATTTTGTGTATGATATATAGAATTCCTACTAGTATTAATGATTCAACTATTCTCTATCCGACAACGAATTATTTTATCTTTCGCCCATACAATGCGCAGAAGCCATGAGAAAATGTAGAAACGGATCGTGGTTGGGAACACAGAAGAGAAAGGATCACGTGGCCGTTCACCAACCAGATTGACTGATCGAGTGAAATACTTGCTGACCACATCGCTCCAACATGACCGACTGAAGAAAGAGATTCTCTTACCACTGGCTTCTGGCTTGTGAGTAGGCTATACAAGGCAACCGTGGAAAATGAAGTCGGATCAGGTGGGTCTTATCGTACATTCCTAAATTGCTTCAGGACGTACTAGAGAAGAGACAGGTCTAAAGTGCCCATAACCGAAGATCACGGTGAATGTAATGAAAGTGGATGAAGCGAGAGAGGTATGTCAGGACTGTAGCAAATAGAGATATGTGGTCTCTGCCTACCTGTTGGAGAAAAAGGCGTGAATATATAATTTCACGATCGCTCGCTAATTTGGGCTAAATTTACAAGCGATACTAATAAAGTGAAGAGCTTTCGAAAGATTTGTTTTGGTCTTAAAATGTGTAATTTATGTATATTCATTGTAATGTGTATTTAACAAGAAACAAAGAGATTCACTTCAATAAAAACAGAAAAAAGACAAATAAAATTGAAGTATTGGGTGTATCTTACAGTTTCAGTTTAGTGTTAGGTTATTCAATATAACATATAGCTATGATATTTTATACGAAGACCCATATTTCTAGAGTCCTAGAGCAAGCTTTGTCAAAATCCAATACGTTTTTGATTCACACATACACAGTCATATTCTAATAACTAGAACAAAAACTGCCCTAAACTGCTTATTAATAAAAGCTAGAGAATTCATATCTTGACCTTATCGTGCCACTTGTCAAATGAACGTGACAAATATTATTTTACTAATCGCATATATACTACGAATATACATATATACGCGCTATCTCATTAAACGTAATTTTATCTTACAAAAAATATATTACCTAAAATTGCTGCACCAGTAAGATGGACCCCAAGTACACTTTTCGCTACCAACTAACAGAGCTGAAATAAAGATAAGTGTCGTAAAAAAATTCATTCAGAAAACATTAACTTAATTTATTTTTATAGGGTGCAAAGGCAGTCATCCCAGGCCATCGACACCCATTTTAGTGGGTGCGTTGCCGGCCTTTGAGAAGTATACTTTTTTTTTTAAACAATTGGAGGTCGTATCGCCCAGGGAAGACTCCCACCGGAAGTCGAATCCACAGTTCGCTACTTCGCTAAATAAATTAACTGCGTTTTTAATACTAAGAATAAATAAATAGCTTCGTATCTTATCCAGAAAAAAGCAATTTCAATAACAAAAAATCTGTCAAATACTCACGCTTGTGTCCTTTTGGTTCTGCGGGCGCTTTTTTCTAAACAAAAAATGCCTTAATTAATTAAAAAAACACATGAAAATTTATTAATTTACAATAACAAATTAAAAACAACTAATTAATTACTATAAAAAACGAATTAATGTCCTAATTAACATTTATTTAATTTCGTTTGAATTAATTTATGGATATTGTAAGACTTGTAGACTTGTTTGCCAATTCAGTGCCTGAAATAAGCCTCTAAAGGGAAGACTTTGTATGGCTTCGTATAGAATTCCGGCCGAGACCTTTCTTTATAAGGAAAGCCTACAGTTTACAATTAAGGCTAAGGGTCGATTCGACCAAACTTCAATTTATACACGAGTAACTATACCAGGAATAATCTATTCCATGAATTTAATCTCGAGTAAATTCATAGTCGTTTCTCCACGTAATCGATAGTATAATTGCGCTAGGAATAACAATACGCGAATAGCAAAGAGAATGGTGAACGAAAATAAAACTCGGCAAATAAATGTTGTTCTACAACGGGACAGTGTAAGAGCATACATCATGTCAACTCTATTTTGCCGTATTATAGTGTGAAAAAGTAGCTTTTAACAGGTGTCACACGACAACAAAAAGTTTTTATTTGTTGTTTGTTTAAGGCTTTCGTCTAAAAAGGAACTTCTGTTGAGCCTAGTTGAATTTCATTCTAATATTATAGAAAATAAAAAATCTAAAAATAAATAAATAAATAATAAATTGTTTAAACGTTTCATTATACAATGCCAGACTATTAATTTAGTGCGTTGCTTTGACTTGAAATTAAAACACAGAATACATATTTGTGAAATGACAGAAATCAGATGATTGGATTGACTGACGCCATTAAATTATTCTAGGAATAGCTGTTATTCCGTGCGAAACGGCGGTATAGTAAAAATTCCCGAATAGGCCCACTATTCTTAGAATTTGTAGTTGGTAAAACGTAAAATTAATTTACTGTCGATTAACTGACGATTTATTCTAAGATTAAGATTTACTCTTGTTTGGTCGAATCGACCCTTAATATAGTATATATCGCTTCTTTTAATCATTGCGAACATCGCTCTAGGCTTTTGGGTTATTCGATACGTCCAAACCGTAGGACCTCTTCGTTTTCCCGCGAATACATTGGGTAAAACAAACTTGTAAAAAAATTTAATGTGACACATTAAAAGATTAAAAAAACAAGATTTTTTTTTTAATCCTAACTTATTATTACAGAAAATAATTATTTTGTTTTTTGTCACTTAACTGACGTATAAAAATCAATATATTAATTCATGGAATTTCTGGTAAATTATTTTCAAGTTATTTTATTGCATTACGCTTTTTAAAGCCATGTTTTACCCAGGTGTCAAATAGCCTATATTGGTTCGAATTAATTAACGAATTTAAGATAAATAGAGATCTGTGCAAACATAAATGGCAGAATTAGGGGGAGGCTTTTGCCAAAAAAGGATATCTTGGAATGAATAAGATTATAGAAATTTAAATGTAAAGTATCTGAAAAAAAAAACAGGCTTTAATTTTTATTATTATTAATCAATGATCCAGTTAACGACACAGCTAGTACTATAATATGGACTGGAGGATGGAGCAAAACTATGGACTTAACAAATCATTATATATATATATATACAAATTGTTATATGGATAACGGTCATCGCGTTATACGAAAACGCAATATAGGGGTACCGCGTTATGGAGGGGATTATATATTAAACTTACCGTATGAAGAAAATTGTCCACTTTCGCATTCCCGCACATACCAATAACCACACACATCATATCCGGAGTGGTGTCGGACTTCAAAACATGGCTTATGTAGCCCTCGAGCCCGTCGGTATTGCTCTTGCATAAACGTGTAACAGCTGCGTTAGATATATCACGGCACGCTGTGTTTATTCTTGCGGCTAGGTAATCCTGTGGGAAGAATATATTCCTTCATAAACTTAAAAATTTCGTAAATGAATATGTGGACTAGTCGGAGAACAGTTCCAGCTATTGAGTCCTATGCAAAGAAAATATTCAAAGGAAAGTATTTGGCATACATATTTCAATAATATCTCAGTAAGGTGACCAATTTTCTGTGTATTTTGGCTTATTAGAGCAATTTCATGTATGCAATGTACGTAGGTAACAAAAAACTCCTGCTATGGAACATTCAGTACTTATCATAAAACGTTAGTTTCATTGAAAATGAACAAAATCCAAAAATATCGAAATCTAAAGCACAGCTTTATCATTCATAATACTGAACTAATTTTGATAATATTTTGAGGCTACGTTAAAACGACATTCGTTATCCTTATCATATGCAGATAAAAGCGCAAGATATAATCTTAATATAAATAAATTACGTGTCACGTTGTTTGTCCGCTATAGACTCCTAAACTACTGAACCGATTTCAATCAAATTTGCACACCGTGTGCAGTTTGATCTAACTTAAAAGATAGGATAGCTTACATCTCAATTTATACCCGCAATATTATTTGTTAATTATTTGATAGTCACAATTCTAACAGATGGCGCTGAGTTGAAAGTACCAACGTTTCACATAAGCTACAATTTAATGCTACCGTTTCCCATGAATAGTTTACTACTATGTAATATAACAAAAACCTTAGCCACAGCAATGCTTGGCCGGTCTGCTAGTAATATAATAGAAATGGTAAATAAATCTATATTTTAATGCGCAGGTAATTCAATTAAAAATAATATTCATAATTTGTTTAACTGTCAGGGGCTCGAGACGTGGTGGGCACGTGACAAAGTGTGAGATAATGTCATTCTCATACAAATTCCTTTAGGGGTAGGTCACGCCTATCGTAAAGTGGTTTTGTCTTAAGCCGCAGGTTTATACTAACATTATCCCTAGATAATATCTATGTATTGCTAAAATATTTTTAAAAAATCCAGCAAAGCAACGGAATGGCTCTTAGCTGACTAATTTTAACCAGTGATCTGGGCCTCAGATTTCTATATCTGTTTCATGATACATTATTTGAAAAGGGAAGTAGGTGGTCAACTGTTGTTGATGTTTTACTAAGCCGTATAAGCCAGTGCTAAATACGCACCGACAGGACAGTCCATTGGTGAACAACCGGGGATCGAACATACGATCACAGCGATGAGAGTCGCAAGCTACTAGAATAACACTGCTCAACTCATTTATAATTATTAGAAAAAAACAGCCGATGATTTTTGCATTTGATTTATCGCCATAACATTTTAAAGCTACACTATTGTGTATGGTATTCCATCGTACATAGATTATACGAATTAAAACGCCATTATAACTGGAAATTATCTACAGCTGAATAAATATCGCCTGTTACGCCAATGTATTCAATGATATTGAAACAATATAGCCGATTTTGAAAACAAGTCTTCGTCAGCTATATTATTGTATAAGATACGAACTGGTTTCCGGTGATAAAACCACAAACTCCAGGAAATTATTGACGGTCAAACAAAACATTTATTACTCATAATAACTGAGCCCGCGATTGATCCCAAGGTATTTTGTTACGAACTCTTAAAAGAAAATATTTTTAGCGGTTTTAATATCAATAAATTAATAAGGTTTAAAGACATTTATTCTCATAACAGACAATAGTCACTTACATGAGAACTTATATACTAAAGATTTATAACGTTGTGGGTCATTGAAGAGCATCAAGGATGAATTAGCGAAGTACAACTTGGGTGAACTTTCATTTACGTAGAGAACTGGGATCTCTCAAGAGATAGTCTTTTAGTCTTAATTTAATTTAAATATTGCCAATTAATTAGTTTAATTCGTATTTTAAATTCCTCTTGGTAACATAATAAAAAAAATCTTTATTAAATTCAAAATAATTAAAAAATTGTTATAGTTAATCGATTTTTATTCTAGTAAACTATACTTTCGCTTTCGAGATATTTTCATAAGAATTCCTGGGCACAAACAAACCGTGTATTTTTCTAGTACTTTTACAAATGCTAATAATATAATTAGAGCAGGATTATAACCGGTTTAAATTTAATTAAAAAATTAGTCTAAACCTTTCAAGTAAAATGTGAAAAGGAATTTACTACCTCTGATAAGATAAGAAATATTTACTAACCTCATTAATGAGGTCCTTAACATCCTTCAATTGCCGGAAGAGACGTACAATTTTGTCGGATGCTTCGTTTAATTCGTAAGATGCTTGCTGTTGCTCCCAAACTGTGCTTATGCAGTGACCCACTGCACCGCAGTCTGAGGCTGTCCTATTAATTGAAAACAAATTATACACAAAAGTTAGTAGTTGTCAGCATCACATTTGCATTAAGTAACTATTGCCCTCAAGTTCATTACTTTTGAAACATTTTCATGACTCAACCCTCATAGACAAAAAGCTATTAGCAATTGAACTTAGTTGGCACTGTCTAAATTATATTTACAGATTAAAATTATAAAGAATATTATTAACTATAATAATTGTTATGTTGTTTTCTTATTAAGTTGCATTGTTGACAATGTTAGGAATATAACTTAGCGTATGTATTAAATTACAAGTAAATAGTGTGTGTATTATGTTATTGAACTATTATTAATGACTTAATTTAATTTCTAACTTGTTGTGTTCAATTACTAATGTATTGACATTTAATGCTAAATTGCTATTTTAGCAATTATATATAATAGCATTATGATATCTTAATGACTTAAATCAATACTAAAACCACTTACTTTAAATCTGTACACCAATATTCTGGTCCTTTGGAACATTCTTTGGGAATTTGTCTAGCTGTAGACAAACCTGTAAAAACAATGAGATTAGCACCTTTTGGAGCAAAGAGGCACTTCTGATCAATAAATTATTCTTTTAGGGAAGTAAAAGTACAAAAGTAGAAATTTTTGTAAATTTTTTCTACAATATGGCTATTTACTCATATTGTATCAGCTATTCTTTTCATAAAATCACAACATACAAAGTTATTAAAAATTAATATACATCAACTATTATATTAGATATACTATAAAATTAAATATAATAACACTACATATTGCATTCTACAACAAATACAACAAAAAAATTACTAATTATTTTCTGAACATTAAACGGCACCTATTACCAGGTTTTAAATTTTGCGTCCTGTCCCACATTTTTAAATGATATTTCATGTTCATTTAAATGTCTAAAATATTGCTTAAAAAGCAACTACCAGGTCTAGGTTTACTAAGTGTGACTTGTTGCTACATAAATTTTATAAAAAATAACATGTAAAATTTATTCTTAACAATAAGCAATTTATAGCCACATATTACAGAAAAAAGATTTAGAATACAATGTGTACAATTGGTGTTGTTCCATTTATTTTTCTACTACATGTAAAACAAAGGCATTCGGGTCTATTCCTTCTACTAAAATAATTTATAGGTTCATGATATATGGTCAAGATTGCGGGTATAAGCATCAAAGTTCCAAACACTCTGGCATTGAAAGTGCTCATATCTATATCTTAGGAGGAATGACTTGTTTACACAAGATAAATATTATCTATGAAATATGTTGAAAATATTTATTGTAATATTACACTAAGATATATTATTATTAAGTGATGTATAAGTATTTAATTGCTTTTCTTTTTTCTTTCTAAAACATAAGATCAAACTTTTTGATTTAATTTATATATTTACATTAATTTGTAAATAAACTACTAATTTAGCATTGTAAAATAAATGCCAAATGTTTTTATCAGAGGTTGTTAATCTATTATGATTCATTAAATAACATTAGTTGCAGCCACAGTATTGCTCCTGTAATTAACAAAGAAACATGCTAAAATCAAACATGGCATGATAATAATTAATATTAATTATCTCTCAAAAAGTTTGTTACATATTATACTTGTTTTTTTTAAATAAGCAAGTTAAGGTCTTTTTCTTTCTCGTAATATTAAAAGCGAGCTACTTTCTCTTGCTTATATCTCGTATTTTATGAGATTACTAGTCTAGAATACCCTCCTAAAAATACAGTTTTAATTCTAGAATATTCTAAAAGAAACATTTTCTTTATCTTAATCATTATTGCTCACGCATATCACTGCTCAAATAGGATATAGTATTACGCCAAAGAAAAAAATCAACAAGGGCAACAACAATAAAAACATGATCCGATTAACTTGGAAAAAATAAAACAATACTTACCAACTAAAAATAGAGATATTGAAAGACAAACAGCAATAGTGTTTGCCATGATGAGGTTGCGTTGTGAGCTCTTCGACGACAACGATTTTCTAGCTTTACATGGGGTGGTACATTACTTTAAAATTTTCACTTTGTGTAAAAAGTTTATTGCGTTTTGGCCCAGTAAGTTGTCAAGTCACTGGCTAACAACAGCACAGATCATGGATAACTGAAAATTCGTGACATTGAATGAGTAAACACAAATATGACAGAATCATGATGAATGAAGTTTGAAGTTGGCAGTTGCCCTAAGTACATTCTGTTAATCACAGAAAAAAAAGTAGATATAAATATCAAAACTACTTTTTGGCATCAATTTTCAAGAATAAAATGAAAGTTTATTAAATATAAAAAAAACGTATTCCATGTTTCTTAAAAACTATTCAAAATATTTTTTAAGAAATTATAAACAATAGTCTTTTGACTTGCAAGATAAACCTCAGAAGCAAAGTAATAACTTTGGACACTGCTCACTAGATGTCGCTAAAAATGAACAGCAAAAGTAGATTTTCTACTCATCACTAGGTGGCACACACTGCTAGTTTATCAGATACTTGTTTAAGAATGTAGATACTAGATATGCAAGTGTTCGGTTATATGTAATTATTAACTGCTTTAAAACTTTCTTATTGTTTAGATCTTTGGAAGTCTTCTCTTTCATAATTTGAATCAGTGTGGCTCAACTTAACTATAAAGTAACATTTGTCTGTATGAGTCTCGTAAATAGGTGTATTACATTCAGCGAGGCCGAGTGCTCTGGTGGCTACTTCGAAATTCTAAGCTGTAACAGTTTACAGTTTGGCCTATGCCTGCAAGAAAATACGCCAAAAATTATCACTACGTTGCCTAATAGATAAACTGCCTATTACTGTTGTACGTAATAGGTAGTTTTTATTTACTAGTTAGTTAGTGCTCGGGCCACATAATAATACCTACTGCCCGAGGTACGCCTCGGTTAAAGGTAGGTTATTGGATCAAAATTTTATCTAAAACGGAAAATTTCAATAAAATACAGCTGGTATACCATTGTTACCAATTTTATCCTCTTTGACTCCACCATAGCATAAACCTATTTTATTATATTTAGTGTGTTTTATTTGTAGCGTTACATAGGTAAGCTTCAGTAATATAACACAAAAGTCGTTCTTTATTTACTACAAATATTTGCAAAGAGAAAGCAAAAAATCTAAGAGAATATATTTTTTGCTCTACAATTAGGTTTCCCCGAGGAAGGAGCGGGTCGTAATAAAATTAAGAGACGCCGGGGCTCGGTCGCGGTAAGTCGAAGCCTTCGGGCATAAAACAAATCCGCTCGCTGGCCTCTGGGCGCCATAAGAAAGTCGTGGAGCCGCTTATAAAATATTTCTAAATGAAAATATTGTTATAAAACAATTTGCACTTTGCTAAAGCATCTGCTCATATGATATTACATAGCTATATATAAGCCTACAGTATTGCTTACGCCTGAAAAAGTGTTTAGTAATACATGGTTGTGGTACTCTGGTTACACGTGTCCTCTGTTTCGCACCAGCAATGGATATATTTGTGAAAGGTTTTAAAAGAAGTAATGAATGTAAGTAGTTAAGTAGTTTTATTGTCAAATACTTATATAATTTGTTAGTAGTTAAAGACAGTATTTGTTACTCTAAGTATTATTGTTAGGATTTTGATGTTAAGAATAAAGAATAACACTCCAGTGTCGCTACAACGCTTAATGGGTCTTGATTTCAGATTGCATCCGTTTCTTTGTATGTCATAGTCTTCTGTCTTGTGTCTTCGATTTTTGGAGGCACATCAGACGAGTTTTAGACACGCACTTAGACAGCAAGTCCATTGGTACACAGCTGGGGTTCGAACCAACGGCCTCAGGGATGGGACTCGCACGCTGATGCTACTAATTACACTGCTCTTTTTTCTCAACGACTGTGTGGGTGGGTGGATCAAGGGTAACCCATGACCATGTCACCAATGCCTTTGGTCACATGATTAAAAGGTAATAAAACATGTAAAAAATATTTAATTCAATGGTTTCGTTTATGTAGTGTCGGCCTGTGACCTATAGGGGGCCGTGATTTTAACAGCTTATCACGTGATGGAATGTAGACAATGCTACGCAGTTACGCGGATTGCTGGTGGCGCTGTGGGTTTTTAGTGGTTATGCACAGTAGCGAGTCCCACATAAACCTCCACCACCAGGCAGTTGCGCCGCGGGAGCATATGTTCCCTACGAAAAGTGACTGTCATTCCGGACATCGAGCGTTCGAATCATGGCTGTGCATCGATGGATTTTTTTTGTGTACAATTAGCATTTGCTCTTACGGCGAAGGCAAACATCGTGAGGGATCCGGCATATCTCAAAACCAAATATCACTGACATGTGTCAGACAGAAAGCTAATCAGCTACTTGTCTATGAAATAAAAATGATCGGAGAAAGGGATGCAATCTGAGCCCATAGGCTTGAGTGCCACGAATGATTATTTATATTGAATCCATATCTATCCATATCATATTGATATGGAAGTCATATCAATGACATAGATGCAGATATGTCCATAGTGCTCAAACATATATTTTGGAAATCATTTTGTAGCCGCCATTTTTTGGCTGATGTTACTATGGCGATATGGCCTTGGTTCACAGACAATATTAAATCTCTTGATAACCAAACCAGTCAGTTGACTGTTATTAAAGTTACTACTACGGTTTATATCCGTTAGAAAAGCTTTTTTAAAGTTCAACAGTTAGGTCGCCTATATCTATGCCTAGTAACAATATTTTAAGGTAGGAATAAAAATTAGCAGAGCAGTGTTGACCTAGTGGATTCAGCGTGCGACTCTCATACCTGAGGTCGTAGGTTCGATCCCCGGCTGTGCACCAATGGACTTTCTTTCTATGTGCGCATTTAACATTTGCTCGAACGGTGAAAGAAAACATCGTGAGGAAACCGACATGTCTTAGACCCAAAAAGTCGACGGCGTGTGTCAGGCACTGGAGGCTGGTCACCTACTTGCCTATTAGATTTAAAAATGATCATAAAACAGATTCAGAAATCTGAGGCCACGACCTAAAGAGGTTGTAGCGCCACTGATTTATTTTAATAAAAAATAGTGTGAATGATGTCTCCATAGTTTCTCGTTCACGTATCCGTCGTCCATATTCTGAATAACACTTGAATAGCTCGTCCTAAAGCACTGACATAGCTGTTTGTGTTCATACAACCACGTGACATGCTTTTGTACTCGAACATAAGATCTTTTGTGTACAAAATATGTATTGAATATTGATATTATTTATTTGTATAAAAAATTACGTAGTTTTATACATGACGGTATCACTAGACATTTTCAAGCGGTTAATTAACGTTTTGTTCATACTTATATATTTTCAATAGACTTAATCAGAGAGTTAGGGAAAACAATTTAAACATCGAATATTCGATTAGAAATCGGCATTTTTCGATTGAAACATACAGAAATATCTATACCCCTTTGTGGGTTAAAGACAAAACAATAAATGTTAACAATAAAAAAAACCAGTGGCGCTACAACAGTACATGAACAGTCAATCTAATAGGCAAGTAGGTGATCAGCCTCCTGTGCCTGACTCACGCCGTCGACTTTTTGGGTCTGAGGCTGATCCTCACGATGTTTTCCTTCACCGTTCAAGCGATTGTTAAATACGCACATATAAAGTCCATTGGTGCTCAGCCGGGAATTGAACCAACTCCCGGATGAGAGTCCCACGCTGAAGCCACTAGCCCAACACTGCTTTTAATGTTTACAATAAGTGAGTGTAAAACAGTCTTATTATATTTACGAAGAACGGCTTTCTTGATATATTGAGGCTTTAATCTATCTCAGTATATGAAACACAATTATAAGCACGATATGCATTTATTTCATAGAAAGTGGTTCTCAAGTTCAAAGACCCTTTATTCCTTCAGCACTCTAAATTTACAATTGCACGCAACATTCTACCATAATCTACGAGCAACGTGTCGCGAAGTTGCCCGCAGTTAGGAAAGATTTGTCGCGTCCGCCAACTAATGCTACTTGTAAGTAAAAATTATGATTATCGCTCGCCGAGAGCTGAGCCCTTGATCCCTAACTAACGGTCTCTGAGACGCAGACTTTCCTTTTCGTCTAAACTATAACTCTTTTTTATTGGCCGCCGGTGCACGGACGCTGGATTACGGTGGCCTAACTGATCACTGCTCTTCGACGATAAAATGATCTTAAAAGCGGGAACTAGGTGTACCTATAAATTGTTAAACTAATTGTTTACCAATTTAAAGGCTTTATCGTACTATTAATATCCTATTATTAATCTCTTTGCTGTATTTGAAAAGTGTTTTCAGTAGACAAATAACAAGTTTAATTAAAATAAATTAATTGTTATTATTATTACACACAAATATACAGTATTTAAAATATTCTTAACCTAGTAATTATAAATTTATAATTAGAAAATTAAAACAGTTTAAAAAAGGCAATCTGTGGCAGTGTACCTTTATTGCTGGCAGCTTTTCGTTGAGAGAGGAAAGCACTAGCACTCGTGCACTCTGGGGTCACCGGTACTATCTACCAGGCGCGAACTTAATGATTTAATTAGGGCATGTGCAATTGAACCCCACGGTCCAAGAGTATCTACTCCAAAGGGAAAGAAATCATAGTTAGTGATGTTGTTTCTCTATTAACATACTAGTTAAAATGTTTATTGTTTAGTAAAAATGTGTGTTTACGTTCAAAGTGACACGAGAGGATGAAAATTTCAATAGGTATTTTGTGTTAGTAGTAATTATATCTTTGTCAGCTTTTAAGCTCGGCTTCCGTGTTCGCCCTAATAAACGAAGACCTTTGTATTACGAACTAACTGTTACCTTAACATAATAGACACTCCGACGCAGTTAATATTTTTAGTAGTTGGAAGCGTTGATCAATAAACAAACTATTGATATACCTACCCTTTTACCTTAACGCGAGTACATTGGTAGTGGCTTAATGGCTTCA